TATTTGGCAGAAATTATCAATAGACACATAAAAACTAGGTTATTACAAATATATAGATAATCTGACAAACATCTGAGACAATATCCTCAGAAGCTCTTGAGATTAGTCACAAGATACTTAGTCGCTTAATCCGATAACGACTATTATTAATTTACTTTATTTAAACTAAAATATAAACTCAGAGCTAGGTAAATGCATGAATGTAATCATTTTTTTTTTAATTTACAAGTGTTGTGTGTTTGTATTTTTTGTATATGAAGTTTTAAGCAAAATACAAAACTCACTAGACATACACTTTGTAAAACTTTTATGACTTAAGAGGCTTAAGCCAAACCACCCTTAAAATGGACCCGATTCGCAAGAATTATTACTGTCCATTGTTGCCATAATGGAGCTGTAAAGTTTTACTAGGTATATGTCAACTTTGACTTATAAGGGTGCTTTGGTTTACGGCGCTTAAGTCATAAAAGTTTTACAAGGTGTATGTTAAGTGAGTTTTGTATAATGGGACATTATTTAAATGATTCCAGTTCTAATTCGGTTTTATGATAACAATAGATTAGTACTGCCAGTGATGAGACAGTTATAAATAAGGATTTAACCCTTATACTGTATAATGGTAACGGCATGGTTAAGTGACCATTATACAGTATAATGGTTAAATCTTTATTTATCACCATCATAAAACCGAATTAGAACTGGGGAAACTATACTTGAGTTAATAAAATTCTGTATCTAAAATGAGTCGAATCGGTTGTTACTAAAAATGGAAATGCTTTTACTAGCACACTTATAATTATAAAACGACCCAGTAGACGTAAAACACTTGTTTTTATTTTCAAAACGATATCCACTTATTCAGCCCAGAAATTTTTTTATGAAACGGATAAAAATATGGAAGAAAGATAAAGTGTGAATTATTATCACCGAGTTTAAATTATATCCGAGGTTGGCAACAGTGGTCACGGTCAATCGTTCCACTTATTATAACTTATAAGTTTAATAAAAAAAATACTTCCTTAGCACTTTAAAAATGATGCTTATCTTAGCAGCTGTTTGTTTTCTTTTTACAAATAAAATATTTTTTTGTAGTTGACCTTCGTAGATCGACACTTACAATTTTATTATCAAGTATGATTACAATCTAAAACACAGATGTTAAGGGAAGTCAGAAATTATGAAAACAATGTCAGTTTCTGAAGTGGTACTTGATCTATGAATGGTTTCTGTAATTATATCTTACTGGACTTAAATAATTCATTCATTAGATAACACAATTCTGTGATGAGGTTTCCAATTTGTTGTTCTAAAAGCACATAATTATTCCGTCTCGGATCGGATATTATTTTTTTTATTATTTTTTATTTTAATATTTAGTCCATATACACTACAGCCCATGTTTCTCATTGGTTCCTATTTGTGTTTTGTTTTATTTTTGTTTATCTGAAGTCTTTCTCGATGCTGTTTCTAGTTATTTTACTATTTTTTCTAATTCAGATCGCTGTACTTTTGCTGCCTCAACACTTTTTCCAACACTTTTTCGTACATCAAACTAAATAAAATGGGTTGTGGTGTCCCAATTTGAATTAAAATTTCGTGCTGAGAGAAAAAATGAACTATAGAGTGTAGGATTCAGTTAGTTTAGTTCAGTTTCGCTTTTTCTTAGCTCTTGCACCATTTTTTCCCTTAATCTCTCCTTTTATACTCCTTGTTTGTTAATTTTGTGTCCTGCTTCGGTATTAATTGAGCCATTTTTGCTCCTACCATGAAATTATTCGACCCTACATCGACCACTCTGTAGGTACTAACATCCGTGATATGCTTCTGTCCTTTCTTTTCTATTAGTATATAGTCCATCTAATTCACAACTCTGCCCTGTGGACATCTTCCCTTTTACAGGTCCCTTTATGTATCCTTCTGCTTCTTACAATACGTACTCAGAATTATCAAATCGTTTCCAATGTCTACGTTAATTATTAGAGAGCGGATTTCTAGGTTTAATGCTTTTGTGAAAAATGTAAGCACTTCAAAACTTTTTTATATCTGTAACTATGATACAATTTAGAGTCATTTGACACATTTTTTTATGCTTATTTGCTTTTTTTTCAATTTTATGCATATTAAAACTTATATGCTTATTTAATTCTTTGTTCGACGAATATGAGTTTTAATGCATATTTTGTTCAAATGCCGGCCTTGTCGGGATGACAAATACTTGTTAGTTAGCCGTTTCGTATCGTATGCATTTTATCTGGACTTGACCATTGAAGTACACTTACTCAAGACCCTTTCTGTGAATAGGTTCCGGTCGTTTGGGTAATAAAATTTTATTATAGGATTGGAAAAATACTCCATAGATTTTATGACTTTAAATCCTTACTTCCGTTGATAATGAATTAAAGCTTTTAACCAGATGTTCTTTTTCGGCATTTTGCGGCAAGACCGTTGAAGATTTTCTAGAAAAAAGGATTATTGTACCCAACTACCTACCTTAAAATTTTTCTAATGGAAACTTTTAAGTAAATGAACCGTTTATTTCACAACCATCAGTCTATCGCATCTGTCGTAGTACAGTGTTATACGTGGTTCTCCCTTGTTACATGTTGAGTTCTTTTTGGTAATATTACTAATATTTTAAAAGAATGCCGAAAGTAAAATCGACGCCGGATGAGTGGATAAGGGATTTTCCAGAATTAAAATTAGAAAACAACAAAATATTCTGCAGAGCTTGTGTGAAAACCGTAAGCCCACTAATTTTTTTTATCTATTTTCCTTTGTTAATCCTGGATATGTACGTTGTTTTAGATTCAAAGTGATAAAAAATATAACGTGACGCAACATGTCAGAACGACTCTTCATGTAGAAAGCAAGAAAATGTTTGAAGTTTCTAAAATTAAACAGCAGACCATACATGAATCTGTAGCATCTACTTCCATGAAAGATGAGCAGTTTCAGTTTAATTTCGATTTATGTAAAATGATATCCAGTCCAATATACCTTTAAAAAAATTGGAGAAAGGCCCTCTTTAAGAATTCCTTGAAAAACACTGCAATCGACATATTCCAGTTGAAAGTACTCTCCGAAAAAATTATCTAGGCCCAGTGTTTTAGCAAGTTTACAACGAAATTAAACATCGTATTGGAGATAATTGTGTATGGTTCGCTGTCGATGAAACAACCGATAGTTGTGGAAGATACGTGGCAAGTTTAATTCTTGGAATCTTAAATGAAAATTTCCCTAGTCGAGGGTATGTAGTAAGTTTGAAAATGTTAGATAAAACAAATGGCAATACGATTACCAGATTTGAAAATGACAGTCTTACGTCACTATTTTTGCCAAATGCCGTACCGGCCAATAAAATTTTATTCATAATCTCGGATGGAGCTCGTTATATGTTGAAAGCAGGGAATAATCTAAAAATATTGTACCCCAATTTAATTCACTCTACTTGTATTGTCCACGATTTAAACAGAGTGGCTGAAGGAATACGTTTGCAGTTTCCTACTGTTAATAAATTAGTGGCAAATGGTAAAAAGATTTTTGTTAAAGCCCCACTAAGAGTGCAACATTTTAAGGAAAAATTTCCAAACATACCATTACCCCCAGAGCCGATTATAACGAGATGGGGAACATGGTTACAGGCCACATTTTATTATGACAAATATATCAAAGAATTTGAGGAAGTAGTTCCGGAGTTTAGCGAAGATTCTTCTCAATCGATTAAAGATTGCATAAATCTTTTGGAAAACAAAGATTTGCGACAAGATCTAGCCTTTCTAAGAAGCAATTATCAATTCGTATGTGAGGTAATAGAAAAGTGAGAAAAACCCAACATGTTGTTGGTAGATGCCATAAACTTAGTGAAAGAATTTAAACAAGCTAACGCAGTAAGGGGTGATATTGGTACTAAAGTATCTCAAAAACTTGACAATGTGTTAAATAAAAATGCAGGTTTCGGTGTTCTTTCCGACGTTGCTCGTGTTTTACAAGGCCAGAAGTTGGAAAATTTGGAGTTAGATTCAACATTAGTTGCAAAATTCAAATTTGCGCCAACAACGAGTGTGGATGTTGAACGCACATTCTCCTATTTTAAACACATTTTAAATGATCGCCAAAAAATTTTTACAGTGGACAACTTGGAACATATTACAATCATAAATTGTTTTAAAGAAAACTGAAATACGTGTGTAAAATATAAAGTCTAGGATTATTGTAATAATATTTTATCCAAAGTTCTAAGAAGTGTTCTTTGATTTGTAACATGATTATGTTTTTAATGCTTGTTTGCTTAAAATAAAACTTTTTTAATGAAAGTGTTATGCTTATTTAATGCTTTTTTGCTTAAAATAATACTTTTTTATTGAAAATGTGCTTATTTAAGCGCTTATTCTTAATTTTTTGTGCTTATAAATCCGCTCTCTATATAATTATTTAATAACTTGTTAAATGTTAACAATATTAGTTATTTTTTTTAATTCGGTGTTTTTAGAGTCACATCAAAGCAGTGTTTTCAGCCGAAGTGGAAGAAACTTTGGAAAACTTCTAAAAATGTCAAATCAAGTATCCTTATAGTGCTCCTAATTAATAAATTATATCAAACTATGTAGTGTGTTTTATTTATTAATATTATTCAAAGCTCTTATAAGAAATACTCCATTATTTTTATTTTGTCGTTTGTGACAACACACGTTTTTAAAAGTTAATTGACAGACAACACTCAAAATCTGATCCTCTTACGTAGGTAGACGTCTGAACACAATTAACATACAATCATCAACAAAATGGCATGATTTCATTGATAAGTTGTTAAAGATAGTAAAATATTAGTAAAATGTATCTATACACCTTTTTCGCCCCAAAAACAGGAAACCGGTACGTGTGTATATGTGCATAAGTGATATTAAAAAAAGTGGGAAATCGCCAATTGACAATTGAACCTAATATGTTAATGCAATTAGTCTTTAATAATTGACAAGATAAGATAAGGCAATTGTTCTCTGTTGAGCAGTGGATCCCTTATAAAACCACGCTAGCAATAGTTTTCCCAGCACTGATCACTTTCTCATCACCAACATGAAGCTGCTACTTGGTTTCGCTCTGTGCGTTGCTTTGGTAAATAATTAAAGTACCTTAACAATGAAAATTATATTATAACATTATTTTTCTAATTTACAGCAAGCTGCCACTTTGACACGAGCCGGTCCAGGAGCTCGGATTATCGGAGGTAATGACGCGATAGTCGGCCAATTTCCCTTTATAGCAGCACTCAACATTCAAACCGAAGACAGTACCTTCTTCTGTGGAGGAGCTTTGATCAGTAACGAATGGATTTTGACGTCTGCCCATTGCACCCAGGGGTAATACAATCTCATATCATGGTTTCTAAAATACAGAAGATGTAAATTTTAGCGCACACACCGTAACCATTCGTTTGGGATCTAACACGTTGAGCGGAAGCGACCCAAATCGTGTCACTCTAGCCTCGTCACACGTCGTGGTACATCCAGATTTTGATCCAGAAACAACTGCCAACGATATTGGTCTAATTAAGCTTCGATTGCCTGTGGAATTTACAGATTACATCCAACCGATCGGGTTGGCCAGTACTAATTTACCCAATTCTGCGAATCCTACAGCACTTGGGTGGGGCCAGACTAGTGATGGTACGTAGTTGTTACTACTATTAGCATTTTTGTTTATGACGTTTTTCATTTCGTTTAGATGATCCAGGATTTTCTAATCACCTTCAGTTCGTGGGCTTGGCTGTTGTATCGAACATAGAATGTGCCCTTACTTTTGGTAACCAAATTACAAATAATACTGTGTGTGTTGATGGAAACTACAATGAAGGTACATGCTATGTAAGTAGATTCGATATTAAGTTGAAGGGCAATTCTAAGTTTTATGTTTATTTCAGGGTGATAGTGGTAGTCCTCTGGTTGTTCGTTTGATAGGAGGTACACGATTGCAACATGTTGGTGTTTCGTCTTTCTTTAGTGGAAATGGCTGTGAAAGTACCGATCCTTCTGGGTACACAAGGACGTGGCCTTATGTTAACTGGATCAAAAATCAAACAGGAATACCATAAAATAAGATGTTAAATTAAATTATTTGGTGAAAACATGAAATAAAATATATTTTTTAAAGAGCATTAGTTTTATCGTATGGTTGATGAAGAAGTTCACGTACGACTAGCCATAAATTCTATTTCAAAGAATTATTAAATATTTTTATCCACTATAAATAAGCTTAATAATTTTGTCTGAATTTTACTTTGTCATTTAAATTTACATTGAAACATCGTAGCCTGAGAACTTGTTTGATCTACAGACCAGACCGTACTCAGGCCAATGTCGACTCTAAGCGTTCAGAAAGGATTTGATCTATAAGCTATGTTCCGTGATCTGACACATCCTAACCGGTTAGACCATAATTTCTACGGGAAAGAATCACTTGGTCGGATTTCACAAGGAATCAGTGAACATTTTCGTAGGTAAAGTTCCACCATTTGAACAGTACCCAGTAAAGTTTTATTGGTATTTCAAAGTTAAGCATCAAGGTTGGACCCACAGAACCATAAACCACAAATTCAATGGAACCCTGGATGTTTTTAGCCCACTATACACTGGCGGCACGTTCTTTTTATTGGCGTCATTATCCCCCTGCATTGTCCGACAATACCTCACAGTAGCGGTTATAAAATTTACTGTTTATTAAAAGGTACTGTTGTAATGTTGGAACTTTACATGATATTCGTTCATTTGTCTACTCTAAATGTTAAAAAGTAACTTAGTCTTGAACTTGTGGTTTAAGAATCCTCGTTGAATTTTTATGTTCGACATTGAGATTTTTCGATTTTTCGGCTTTTCCATTTTTTGCTTTTTCAACTTTCGAATTCTTAATTTTTCGAAATTTAAGTTTTGGGATTTTTTAGTTTATTTATTATTCAATTTTGGGCTTTTTCAATTTTTTCATTCTTCAATTTTTCAATTTTTCCATTTTCAGTTTATCGATTTCTCAATTTTCCGTTTTTTCAGTCTTTCTCCTCTTCAATTTTACGATTTTATAAATATTCCGATTTTCAAGTTTTGACTTTTATTATAAACTCCCAAGTTTTCGATTTTTCATTTAATCGATGTTTTGATTTTCCCATTTCTCGACTTTTGATTGTTTCGATTTTCCTGTTCATCAATTCTTCAATTTTTCGATTTTTCAGGTTTTTGATCTTTCAATTACTCTATTTTTTAAGGTTTCGATTTCTTCACTTCACTTCACAGTTTTGGTTTTTCGATTTTTCACTTTTTCAATTTTTTAAATTTCTCAGTTTTTGGATGTTTCGGTTTTTTAATTTCTCAGTTTTTGGGTGTTTCAGTTTTTGGATTTTTCAGTTTTGGGATTTTTCAGATGATTTATTCTCCACCTTTTCGATTTTACAATTTCTCACTTTTTGAATTTCACAACTTTCAATTTATCGAGTTCTCAATTTTCCCATGTTTCAATTTTAGCTTTTTTGCAATTTTTCTCCTCTTCGATTTTACAATTTTTCGTTTCTTCAATTCTGCAGTTTTAAATTTTGGTTTTTGATTTTTCAATTTTTCAGTTTTTTAAGGTTTTGAGTTTTCGATTTCACTTTCTTGACTTTTTGATTTCTCTATTTTTCAGTTTTTAATTTCTCAGTTTTTGTATATTGCAGTTTTGAGATTTTTCAGTTTTTCCATTCTTCAGTTTTTCTTCCATTTTTCGATTTTTCGAAAAATTTCAGTTTTGGGATATTGCCGTTAAGAGATTTTTCAGTTTTTCGATATATTTCAGATTTTTCAGATTATTTATTATTCAATTTTTTGACTCCACAGTTTTTCAATTTTTCAATTTCTCAATTTTCAATTTTCGATCCCTCAGTTTTCTGATGTTTCAGTTTTACGTTTTTTCAATTTTCGTCTTCAATTTTTAAATATTTCTGTTTTTAATTTTTGACTTGTCTATAATCTCAATTTTGCGATTTTTTAATCAATCGATGTTTTGATTTTCTCATTTCTTGACTATGTATTGTGTCGATTTTCCTGTTCTTCAATTCTTCAATTTTTTAGGCTTTTATTTTACAACTTCTATTTTTTAAGGTTTGGATTTTTCGACTTCACTTTTTTCACTTTCTAATTTCTCAGTTTTTGATTTTTTTAATTTCTCAGTTTTTGCGATATTTACAATTTCTCAAATTTTTAATTTCGCGATTTTCAATTTTTCGATTTTTCAGTTTTCCGATGTTTCAATTTTACGTTTTCCAATTTTTCTCTTCTTCAATTTTACGATTTTTTAATATTTGGTTTGTGCAATTTTTCAAATTTGATTTTTATAAACTGTCAGTTTTTCGATTTTGCATTTCTTCAACTCTTTAAATTTTTTAATTTTTTAGGTTTTTGATTTTTTAATTTTTCAATTTTTGAAGGTTTTGATTTTTCGACTTCACTTTCTTGACTTTTTGATTTCTCAGTTTTTCAGTTTGTTAATTTCTCAGTATTTGTATATTGCAGTTTTGAGATTTTTCAGTTTTTCGAAAAATTTCAGTTTTCAGATTTTTCAGATTATTATTAAATTTTTTGATTTTACAATTTTTGCAATTTTTCAATTTCTCAATTTTCAATTTTTCGATCTCTCAGTTTTCGGATGTTTCAGTTTTACGTTTTTTCAATTTTCGTCTTCAATTTTTAAATATTTCTGTTTTTAATTTTTGACTTGTCTATAATCTCAGTTTTGCGATTTTTTAATCAATCGATGTTTTGATTTGCTCATTTCTTGACTTTGTACTGTTTCGATTTTCCTGTTCTTCAATTCTTGAATTTTTTAGGTTTTTATTTTGCCACTTCAATTTCTTAAGGTTTGGATTTTTCGACTTCACTTTTTTGACTTTTTGATTTCTCAGTTTTTGATCTTTTTAATTTCTATGTTTTTGGATATTTACAACTTCTCAAATTTTTAATTTCACGATTTTCAATTTTTCGATTTTTCAGTTTTCCGATGTTTCAATTTTACGTTTTCCAATTTTTCGCCTCTTCAATTTTGCGATTTTTAAATATTTGGTTTGTGCAATTTTTCAAATTTGACTTTTATAAATTCTCAGTGTTTCGATTTTTCATTTCTTCAGTTTTTCAATTTTTTAAGGTTTTGATTTTTCGACTTCGCTTTTTCGACTTTTTAATTTCTCAATTTCTCAATGTTTTAATTTCTCAGTTTTTGGATATTTCAATTTTTTTTTCTGTTTCACGTTTTCCCAATTTTTTTAATTTTCAATTAATCGATGTTTTGATTTTCCCATTTCTTGACTTTACGTAGACTGTTTCGATTTTCCTGTTTTTCAGGTTTTTGATTTTTCTATTTTTCGATTTTTTTAAGGTTTCGTTTTTTCGTCTTCACTTTTTTGATTTCTCGATTTCTCAATTTTTCAACTTTTTAGATTCTCAGTTTTTGTACATTTCAGTTTTTGGATTTTTCAGATTTCTCTATTTTGGGATGTTTTAGAAAATTGTATAAAATTTAAATATCAGTTATCATGCACAATTTTGAGATACGATTTTGTTGCCAACCCATCATGAAGCTTCATTATTGATAGATCATATTTACTTATGTGATTTTAATATTAATTGAAATTATTATAAATTGTAAGAAATACTTATTGCCGACATTTTTTTATTTTAACAACATTTCTAAAAGTTAATTGACAAACAGCACTCGAAAACTTATCCCTTTAAGTAGATAGACCTGATAAAATTAACACACAATTGTAAATAAAATGAGATGATTTAACTTAACTGATAAGTTATTATGTTATTAGAGATAATAAAATAGTGGTAAATGGATCTATGCATTTTTTTTTCAAAAACAGGAAACTAGTAAGTGCATGAGAACAAGTGATATTTAAAAAAAAGAGTGGAAATTGTCATTTGATAGTTGAGCCTAATATGTATAAATACAATTTTTCTTTAAGATTAGCCGACAAGATAAGATAAGCCAACTAAAAGTGTTCTCTGCTGAGTAATGGATCACTTATAAAATCAAGGTAACAATAGTTCTACGCGCACTAATTAATTTATCTTCACCAACATGAAGCTGCTACTTGGTTTAGTTCTTTGCGTTGCTTTGGTCTGTGCTAGGGTAAATAATGAAAGTACCTCAACATTGAAAGTTATATTTAAAATATTTTTTAATTTACAGCAAGCTCCCGCTTTGACACGAGCCGGCCCAGGTATGTATCTCTTAGTAACAACAAAATGTTGTTTCAACATTTCATTATTTTCCAGGAGTTCGAATTATAGGAGGCAACGACGCAGTAGTGGGCCAATTTCCCTTTATAGCAGCACTCAACATTCAAACCGAAGACAGTACCTTTTTCTGCGGAGGAGCTTTGATCAGTAACGAATGGGTTTTGACGTCTGCTCATTGCACCCAAGGGTAATACAGTCTCAGTGTGGTTTCCAAAACATAAAAGGGTAAATTTTAGAGCACACACCGTCACTATTCGTCTGGGATCTAACAAGTTAACTGGAAGCGACCCAAATCGTGTTATTCTAGCTTCGTCTCACGTCGTGGTACATCCAGATTTCGATCCAGACACAAGCGCCAATGATGTTGGTCTTATTAGGCTTCGATTGCCTGTGGAGTTTACAGACTATATCCAACCGATTAGGCTGGCTGGTAGTCATTTACCGAACTCTGCGAGTCCTACAGCTCTTGGGTGGGGCCAGACTAGTGATGGTACCCAGTTGTTGCTATTATCATATTTCTTTATAATGTTATGTATTTTTTTAGAGGATCCAGAATTTGCAAATGATCTTCAGTTTGTAGCTCTGGCAGTTGTGTCTAACGAAGAATGTGCTGTTACTTATGGTAACCAGATTACAAATAATACTCTATGTGTTGATGGAAACTACAATGAAGGTACATGCTATGTAAGTAGAATGGAATTAAGGTTTAAAAGGTAATACTGAGTTTCGTCTTAATTTAGGGCGACAGTGGTAGTCCTCTGGTTGTTCGTATGGTAGGGGGTTCAGCTTTGCAGCATGTTGGTATTTCGTCGTTCTTTAGTGGAAACGGCTGTGAAAGTACCGATCCTTCTGGTTATACAAGGACGTGGCCTTATGTTGACTGGATCAGAAATGAGACAGGAATGTAATTATAACTGAATAAGATGTTACATTAAATTATTTGTTGAAAATCTGACAATAAAATTACTTTTTTATTATTACACATTGATTTTATTTTTTTTAAATGTTGAGTTTTCAACACTTGCAGTGCTTTATTGAGCTGTTTACAATCGGAATTATTTACTGAAAATATGTCTAAGGGTTGTGTGTGAGTTCGTAGTGTGTCTTGTGTTTACGATGCACAATTTAGCTACCAAAACGTAAAGACTATGTGGAAAATGGATATCCGGAAGAAAACCCAATTGGTGAAATTGACAATCTATGATCTGCTGGTTCTATAGCTGCTACAAGTTGGTCCAGGCAATGTCCATATTATTATTATTATTATAAGTTAACAAAAAATTGGGTAAGAAAAATTAATTTCTATGAGCCCAACGTTATAATAGTCTATTATCGGGTGATATGTATAAAATAGGTAGACAGATTTTTGTTCAACATTGAAAAAGAATTGTGCCGATTTCTTTCTTAAAAGATGACAGAGTCTGTGCAGTCACAGCAGAAGAAGATAAACCGTTCCATGCGTCGAAGGATCGATTTGCAAAAAAGTTTTGGCGGCATTTTATCTAAACACTTTGCTTAGCTAGTTTAAACGCATTATCTCTTAGCCTAACGTCGCGGTTCAAAGGTAACATATAAGAAAGATCGCAATTAAAATTTGCGTGAAGTATACGATACATATAAATTAAGTCACCTCTATTTCGACGATCTGCAAGACTTACGATACCTAGGTTAGAGAGTCGTTCTTCGTAAGATGGACGGTGGTAGCCATAAGGAATTCTCGTTGCTAATCTCTGAACGGATTCAATAAGGTTGAGATCTTTGATCCAATCGACACTCCAGACTATGCATCCATATTCAAGAAGTGGACGACAATATTGACAGAAAAGGCGAACAAATGCGGATGGGGATAGTATTTTAAAGCCCTTTGAGATTAGAAATAGCATTGATCTTGCTTTCTTACATATTGAAGTTATATGTAGTGACCATGACATATCATGAGACATAGTGACACCTAAATCACAATAAGAATCGGAACTGGTTAAAATTACAGAATTAATGGTATAATTCAATTTAGGATTATTCTTTCCCAAATGTAGGACCAAGCATTTAGTCTCATTTAGTAGGAACTGCTAACTAGCGCACCAGAGGGAGATCTGATCGAGGTCGTTTTGCAACCGTGCATAATCGGAAAGTGGATTACCATATAATTTACTATCGTCCGCAAAAGAAGAAATTTTGCATTTAACGTGCAGAGGAAGGTCGGCAACATAAATTAGAAATAGCAATGGTCCAAGGACGGAACCTTGTGGGACACCACTAGAAACCGCAGTAAAATCTGAGAAATAATCCCTAACACGTACACAAAATTTACGATCAGAAAGGTATGCTTTAATCCAGGATAAAAGTTGGCCACGGAAGCCAGTATGATCAAGCTTAAGCAGCAAAGCAGCATGTGGAACTTTATCAAATGCTTTCGAGAAATCTAAATATGACATCAATCAGATGATTATTGTTGAGAGCAAGGGTCCAATCATTAATGCAGATTAAAAGATTGGTAACGACTGATCTGCCTGGCATAAATCCATGTTGCGTTTTAGGTATTATATTATGTTGAGCGCAAAATCTATACATGTTAAAAACAATTATGCGTTCCATAATTTTAGTAACAATAGGGGTTACACTAATGGGTCTATAATTATTAACGTCAAGTGTATCACCTTTCTTAAATATAGGAGTGACAGAGGCGGTTTTCCAAACATCTGGCAAACAACCCTCATTAAAAGATTTTTGCATGATTAAAGACAGAGGTAATGAGAAGGATCGAGAGCAACTCTTGAGTAGTAGCGGCGAGAGAAGATCAAGCCCTGGAGATGTTGATATTTTTATCTTATTCAAGAGATCTTCAACCGTTTTGGAATCAAAGATTATTGAAGTAAGCGAGTCGACAATTCTCATAGATAAAATGTTAGGGTAACTCACAGACTTGGAAATACTGGTGTAAGATTTGGTAAATGCTTCAACACACATATTAGCAATGAGAGCCTTATCATCTGTAACCTTTCCGTCATTCGTTATAAGTATAGGATGAGAAACTTTGGAACTTAAAGACGACCTCACATACTTAAAAAATTTGTTTTTGTTATATGATATGAGATTTTCCTCGTATGTTTTTTTTATTAAATATCGTTTTAGATAATTCATTGGAAAATGCTCTGTGAGCTCTGTAATCGACTACGGAGCCAGTTCTTTTAAATTTGTGCCATAATTTTCGTTTAACTTTAATGAGATTGAAAACATGATCATCAATCCAAGGTTTAACAGGGTTGTAGGTAAATGGTTTTGGTTTATTGTTAGAAATAACAGAGGAATTAACGATACTAACAAAATAGCACCAGCCAAGAGGAAGAGTCTGTTGTGAGAACGAAGTCTTCCAGTTAACCGCATTTATATCTCACTCCACTTTAGGAAAATGTATCACTCGTTTATACCCAGTCACTTTCTGTTTATTACTATAGCTGATGGTCTGCATGGTGGCTTTAATGACTACATGATCAGATTTACCAATGGGAGGATCAAAATCGAGAGTGGAAATCAAATTGGGATCACTAGTTAGTAATAAATCAAGAGTTGAGGGAGTATCTCCGTCTCTGTATCTAGTAGGTCTGTCTATAAGTTGAGATAAATTGTTATTATGAAGAAATTCAATAAATTTAGAAGGACCTACAGAATCCGGACAGGTACCAGTATCCCATTTAATCATAGGGAAGTTGAAGTCTCCAAATATGAAATGATTATGACAATTTTTAACTGTAACAATTCATTATGGATGTTATTATATAAAATGGCGTCATCTTCAGTAGTAGCGTATTTGGGACGATAGACACAGATGATTACAAAGGACAAGGTAGAAAATTTGCATAATATCGATAATGCTTCAGTAGTAGGCGTGGAAATATTAACAGTTGACACCAAAAAAGACGAGATAATATCATTATTCAAATGGGCACAAACACCACCACCATAGTATACCCAGGAATGGTTATAATTAGATCAGTATAATCAAGATGAAGCCACGTTTCGGAGATTAGAATTATTGAAGGTTTAGAAAGTTGAATATATGCTAGAAATTCGTTATATTTAGCTGGAAGAGAACAAAGATTAGTATAAGTAAGTGTCAATTCAGTAACACTAACAGCAGTTAGTTTTTTGGAATATTAATAATTTTGGGAACACCCTTGATGAATTTGATAGTGATATCGTTTTCACCCTTTTCCTGACGACTCTTCAGTTCAGTTCTCAGAGATTTAAGGTAAGATAATTGTTTTGGGGTTTTATCATCTGAGAATTGCAATTTAGAGAACTCCGTATTGGATAAACATGTCACCCTCTTTATCAGAATGGTTCTAGCCACTTGCGAGTTGGTAAAGATTATTTTTAAAGCTCTAGACTTCTTAGCTGACGTAGAGAAATTGCCCATCCTGCTAAAAGAGGCGACGGTAGAAAGGTCGATGGCAAAACAGTCTAATTGTCTGGAAACAACTGTCTTGTCAAGCTCGGTGTTGTCTCTATCAGTGATACCATAGATAATAATGTTATTGGATCTGCGAGCTTGTTCCACAGCTTCACTTATGACATCATCTGTTGAAGAAGCTAAGTTAGCACTAACAGGAGAAGCCCTCACATCCTGATTAAATGATTCCAATGCGTCAGTGACACTATCAACACGTACCAAAAGGTCTTTATTGGCCGACTGAAGGTCAGCAATTGATTTTTCGTGGACAGTCAGTTGCTCAGTATGAGTTTGTAAAATTTTTGTTTGCGCTACAAGTGTTGCATTGCATTTAGCAACATCATTATTAGATAGTGCCAATTGAGAAGGTTTTAAAGTGGAAACTTCCTTGCATAATTGCTCCATCTTATTCATGATAGCATGGAAATGAGTAGTATTTAACGGTTCAGGTGTTGAGGTCTGCGAATTCTTATCTCCAGAACCACTATTGGAGCACTAAGTAAATCTTTGGAAATCAAATTTTGCTATGTTGGCACAAGCCGCGTGAAAGATTATCAATGTGTTACTTTTTTACATCCGAAATATTTTCTCACAGCTTGAATTTGAACATTTATTCTTGAAATATTATTTCGATTTTGACAGTGTTTAATGTGTACGTATTGTGTTTATTTCATATATGCTCTGTTTTTATGTGTTTATGTTACTGAGTCCATGATGTAATCTTCATGAACTTCATTTCATTTGATCAATAACTTGAATTAATCCGTAATAATATAACATCATATAAATTGTTGCTGTCTGAAGTTCTTGATCGAGTGTGGCATAATTTAATTTCGTTTGATTCCTCTCTTATTATAAGAATCATTTTGCCATCGTCAAAGTTCGAAAGATTTTAACCGAAATGAGACCCCACAGTGTTTTTCCGACCTCGCCGGTTTCCCGTGAATGTTTATCTGCAGTACCGGCTTTTAATTAGGCTGTTAGTTGGCTGCGTCCTTAGCGGGGATGGAAGTAACCTTCAAAAATGCGAGTGTTTATTAAAATCCATGCCGCCTATTCGGGCTGTGGTGAGGGAAAATGAACCTTCACGAGAAGACGCCCTTCGCGCTGCTGTCGCTATATGTCTTCACGTTGCGTAGTTTGTTCTAGAAATTTAGGAAAGAAAACTCTTGTAAATGGAGACTGATGAAGAAAAACAAACCCAGAGATAAAATATAAGTACAAAACAGAAAATTACCCAAAAAATACGAGCCCGAATAGCCAGAAGATTGAGATACATCCTTCAAACTTTCGAATGTCTGAAAAAAGATAAAACAAAATTCGGAAGAGGGAACAAGAAGGAAGAAGAGAAGAGGACAAGGAAGAAATGGTTGGCAGTGGTGAAGAGACATATAGAAAAAGAATCTATAATGAATTGGAATGATGTCGCAAGAGACTGGAAAAAGTTGAACCAGTGAAGTAAAGTAAATAAGTAGAAGCCAGGATGTTACAAGCCAAAAGATAATGAACAAATAATTTTATATCAGGTCTGATTTATTGCACTTATCCATATGTGCATTATATGTATAGATGTTTTGTCGGCAGTTGCAACCTGTTTTACGATTATTTGTTAATGATACCATTTTGTAGACAAATCGTCGGTGCAGACTTATGCTGGTATCAGTGATAATGATCTTAGTGCTAGTGATATTGTCCTCGATTTAACTTAAGTGGTTAGAGATGATGCAATTTGATCAGAAGTAATCTCAACAACAAGTGAAAAAAAAAGATGCGTTAATTAATTGAACTTAACATTAGAACGTAAGCCTTTAGTAAACTTTATAGCACTCTTTATCTGTAAGCACAGGTATCTTTACAACATCCTTCTAAATAGATAGCCCAATAGACTATGAATTACCTATTTATTAGACCAAAGTTCAGAACACAGGAAACATAAAGATAAAACTTGATAATAAAAAACATTATATAAATTCATTAAGTTGCATTTAATGCAAGATTAGTGATAAAAAATAAAAATTTTCTATTACGTACTAGTATATTGTTAGTATCACTTCTTGTTTATAATAATCCTAAAGAAAATGCAATTCTTACTCGATTTAATCATCTGTGTTTCTGTTTTGACATGGCTTGCGGTACGTAATTCATAGAAATAAAAAACATTTAGTACATGTTATAATTTTAAGGAAATTACGTCTGCAAGTAATGAATACACAGGTAAGAAAAAACAATGCTCAGTAAGCTACTTTACTTTTGTAATTTTTGTAAAAGGGCAACGAATTATCGGTGGAGATGTGGCAAGAAGTGGTCAATTTCCATTTATGGCAGCGCTCACCGTGGAAACAGAAGACAGTACATACTTTTGTGGTGGTGCCCTGATTACGAACCAATGGATTTTGACCTCTGGTCATTGCGTATATAAGTAAAAAAGTGTGAATTTGTAGTCACAATACTTACATACAGTGTTTAGAGCAGTTACTATAACTGTTCGTTTAGGTTCTATCAAACTAGAAGGAAGCGACACGAGTGTGATCACTGTGGCTTCTTCTCACGCCGTTCCACATCCAGAATTCAATCCAGACACTATTGAAAACGATATTGGTCTTCTTAAACTTCGGTTACCAGTACAGCTGACTACCTACATACAGCCCGTTAATTTAGCAACAGTCAATCTTCCAGCTTCGGCTGCTCCTGTAGCAATTGGTTGGGGGCAAACCAAAGATGGTATTTTTCTATAGTCTTATTTGAAGTTTATTTATTCAAAAGTCGTCTTTTAATGTGTAAGATGATCCAGAACTAGCACCTGAACTAAACTTTGTGAAGCTGGTTGTTATATCCAACGATGAGTGTAGGCTTACCTATGGTAATCAAATTACTGACACCATGGTGTGTGCTGCAGGAAATTATAATGAGGGTTCTTGTATTGTGAGTGTTTTTGAATACAGTTGAAGAGAAAATGTACGATTGTGTATTCTAGGGAGATGGTGGGGGACCTTTAATTGTAACCATGATTGGTGGTCAATTTATTCAACACGTAGGTGTTTCTAGCTTTTATAGTGGAAATGGTTGCGAAAGCACAGATCCTTCAGGATATACAAGGACCTATCCTTATGTGGATTGGATTAAAAACGTTACAAGTGGAGGATAAATGTGTATATTACATATTTTGTTTGATATTAAACCATTTGTAATAGAATCTTCTACACTGTTACTATAATTTTGACAATTTTTTTGATGCCACATTTTCAATTTTAGTGTTTTAGTTGTTTTAAACTACTTTGTTCTTTCTAGAACTTCTGATTTCCAATATCACCTTATATGTTTATAAAAATTGTTTCATAATATTGTGGTAAATGAAACAGCCAAAATGACACATGCGCACAAAATTTGTCTTTGAACTGTGATGGTCAATAAAATCCACTCCTCCTTCGTGCATTCCTTCCAAGAGAAGGAGGAAGCCAGCTAGGCGGCCTGATTTACTGGGGGCGAAAATCCATTTTGTAGATAAACATTCACGTGAACGATGTGATCCCTTCACTTCGCTTCCGTCAACAAACAAGAATTAACAATGAATGAAAATTTCATTGCAATTGAGATCGGGGCGGCTAAAGGTGGGGCTTAACTTTTGGCTTCCTTTTTTTAATTGATAATAATTATAGTTTTCTTTGAACATAATGTTTCAGGGAGTAATTTCGTGTAAAAAAATAAGAATTTTGCAGTTAAGCTCCGCCCCCTGGCTCACAATGAATAAAAAAACTCATCACAATTCAGATAGGGTGGGTGGGCGGGGCATATATTTTGTATATATATTATTTTTCTTAATATAAGTAGTTCTTTTCACAACAAGAAACTTGAAACATGTTTAAAATCGTAAATTTTTGTAGAGAAATATCGATTGTTTGTTATAATTTCCAGATTTTGGTGATTTTTAGTTGGCAATACTATTGATCTGAGAAAGTTGATCATTTTCTTGGCGAAAAAAATTGCTTGAAACATGCAAACTTTCAAAAATAGCCCAATTTATTCCCGAAATCGTTATGTTGAGGAAAAAGTACAAATTGTTTTTTTTCAAAATTTCCTTAAAAAAATTCGAAATTTTATCCATTGAGGAAAAAATTGGTTTTTTATAGAAGAATTATTCGGATTCTATGCAAAATGTAAACTGTATGCCTTTCTGGCATATTTTACCTTTTTGTTTCTATTTTTCTGAATGAAGTTGTTTAAAAAGGTGAATCCTAAAAATGTTTGTGACTATCTGCTATAGTTGGAGAGACTCAATCTAAAAGTGCTCACTGCGCTCGTATTTTCTGAGAATAAGAATTATTAAAATGCGAGCGCAGCGAGTACCTTTCAAGTATTATTAAACAATTATTCGTTTTGTCCCTGAAAAGCTAAATTATTAAGAAAAATTTTGTTGTCGTTAAAATATGAGTTTAAAGATTGTTTGTGATCACTAATATCTGTGGAAGTGAAACACCCTGAACGTGCTCGCTACGCTCGCATTTGAGAGGTGAATTTTTTTAGAGTAATTTACCTTGACAGGGTAATCTGGAGAATTGCTATTTCTCTACAGAAAGTTACCATTTTAAACATGTTTTAAGTTTCTTGTTGTAAAAAAAAAATACTCATATTAAGAAAAATATATGTACATAAAATATATGAAACAATCGATGGGTGGAGCTTCTCTTTTAGTTGTCTTTTTTAATTAATACATTTAGTTTTCATTGTATAACACGATTTCTTAAGAACATATTTCACATGGTAATTTCTCGTAGAAAAATAACGATTTTGCAATTAAGCTCCGCCCCTCGGCTTACGATGAATAAAAAAAAATCATCAGAATTGAGATCGGGTGGGTGGGCGGGGCTTATATTTTGCCTTTTTTTCTTAATATTCACAGCCATCTTTTAATAACAAGAAGATTAAAACATGGTCAAAATGTTTTTGAAAGGAAACATGAATTTTGTAATTATGGGGCGGAGCCTATTGCAAAGTCGATATTTCTTTATTCAATTTTCCTTTTAAAGCGTGTTTTAAGTTTTATGTTGTGAAAAGAAGTCTACACATATTAAAACAAAACGGCAAAATGTAAAAAAAACAAAATATATGCCCCGCCCACCCTCCCTACCTTAATTGTGATGAATTTTTCATTCGTTGTCACACCGAAGGGCGAAGACTAAGTGCAAAATCTATATTTCCCTGAAAAAATTTACGATTTTAAACATGTTTTAAGTTTCTTGTAGTGAAAAAACTGTAATATTAAGAAAAACAGAAACAAAATATATGCCCCTCCCACCCACCCTGTCTCGATTGTGATGAATTTTTAATTTGTCGTGAGTCAGAGGGCGGAGCTTAATTGCAAAATTCTTCTTTTTCTACAAGAAATTGCGATCTGAAACGTGTTCTTACAAAATTATATTCAAAGAAAACTATAATTATATCAATTAAAAAGGAAATCCAAAAATTAAGCCCCACCTATACCCATTCCTGTTTTAACTATAAACTTTTCATTCGTTGTTACACTATAGGGGGCGGAGCATAATTGCAAAATCCATATTTCCTTGCAAACATTTACCATTTTAAACATTTTTTAAGCTGTTATGAAAAAAGTATTTATATTAAGAAAAAAACAAATATACCTTCCTTCCCCCACACACCTTACCTCAATTGCGATGAATTTTTCATTCGTTGTCACACCGAAGGGCGGAGCTTAATTGCAAAATCGATATTTACCTGCAAAAGTTACCATTTTAAACATTCTTTAAATTTCTTTTTGTGAAAAAACTATTTATATTAAGAAAAAACAGCAAATATTTGTGCAAAAATTCTCTTTATTAATCATTATTAGAGAAGTTGTACCGTCCTTTAAAATTATTTGTGAAGAGTGTTTCTTTTTGCGGCAGGGACTACAACTTGTTTTTTTTAATAGAACACTCTATATATTTTTACATATCCTCATTAGCTTCTTTCTTCACCTTATAACTACATATATCCTGTTTTTGAAATTCTCATGTGACGTTGCCACGTTATTCCAATTTCTGTGATATTTTTAAACAATGAAGGGTTCCCAAAAAGAATCAAATTTTAATATACAGACCATTCTTTTTCTTTCAATAACGTGGGTCTCTTAATAAAGTCAAAAAATCAATAAAAAACAAGTTTTATATTGAAAAACTTAAGAAGAAAAAGAGAAGAAAAACCAGAACAAGATGGAGTAATAAAATCCCGGTTTGTCTGGTCAATGAAAAATATGAAAAATCTATATTTGAAAATTGTCATAATAAAGTTCCAATAAAAAACTAAGTTTTGTGTTACTTTTTTTATTGTTTTTTAAATTTACCATTTGAAGCATACCGAGAACCCTCGGAATGCTTCAAACCGATCACTTCTACAGTGGAAATATTAGGAGAAGAACACGCTGACTCAATCTGTCACAAGGAGCCCGACAGAGTAACGAACGCCACTCTACTCATTTGTTTCACGGGTGTGTCCTTCTCACAGTATTTCCACACTAGTGTCACTTCGATTCGGAAGGCTTCCCATACAAAATGATAAATGTACGTAAATAATTACATGCAATTAAAATTATTATTGTTTTAGAGAGGATGTAAACACATTATAACGTTAATTGGATAAGATAAATTAAGTTTGGTTGTTAATCAGATCCTATATAAAGTAATTAATTTCTTAGACATTTGCCATAAAATCCAGACCAATTAAAGTGACGTAGTATGAAGCAACTTTTAACATCACTGTCCCTACTCAGCTGCTTGTTTCTTGTGCAAGTTAATTGCCGCATAGGTAAAAACATTTTTTTTTTGTTTTGCTTTAAACGATCATCTTTTACTCCAATTTACTGTCACCAGGAACTCGCATTGTGGGTGGAAATGTAGCAAAAGAAGGCCAGTTTCCTTTCGCAGCTTTGCTAACGATTGAAACTGAAGGTTTCGTATTTGTTTGTGGAGGAGCACTCTTGAACGAAGAATGGGTTCTGACATCCGGAACTTGCACTAACAAGTACGACCCATTGTAAATTTGCAGAACGAATTAAACGTTTCGTCCCTTGTAGCATTGTGAACGTCACAGTTAGTTTAGGTTCAACCAGCAGAGATGAAAATGATCCAAACCGAGTGACCGTTGTTTCAACCGTTGTTGTGCCACATCCCGATTTTAACCCAGATCAGATTTTGAATGACATAGGTCTTGTCAAGCTTTCTGAAGCAGTTGAGTTTTCAGATTATGTACAACCAATTAAATTGGCAACGATTAATTTACCTAACATCTTACATCCAACGGTTGTTGGGTGGGGACAAACTGCTGGTGGTTACTCAGACACTCAGTAACGTACAGTTGAACTTAAGATGTAAGTTGTAGATGATTCGGATCCAGCGACGGATCTACAGTATGCACAGTTAAATATTCTAACTAATGAAGAATGTCAACTGATTTACGGGTCGCAGATTGTTGATAATATGGTGTGTTTAAATGGAAATAACAAAGAAAGTACATGCTATGTGAGTTAGGAAAATTAGAGTGGATAGTTAACAGTTTGTGGGATTTTAGGATGACTCCGGAAGTCCTTTAGTTGTACGTCCTATTGGAGCTTCGAGTTTGCAGATTGTTGGTGTTTCAAGTTTCTTTAGTGGAAATGGATGCGAGATTGGTGAGCCGTCTGGATTTACTAGGACGTATCCTTACCTTGATTGGATAAATAGTGTACTGCAAGAAGCGTAACAGAAATTAAATAAAAAATATCACAACAGAACCAAAAATTTTTTAATCAATTGAATTCTTCGTATAGTCTTCAATTGTACATACATTTTTGTAAAGTAATTACTTTACTTACCCACAATTATAATTGTGGTTAAGATTCATAAATCACACGTGTAGGAGTACTACGTTAAGTATTTTATAAAATTTAAATAATGTTTAATGTACGAAATTTTAAGGAGATGTCATCACATTGTTGGTGGGATGATTAGAGACATTTTGCTTAGCGTTTTACCATCTACACTATTTTCCTGAAATACATAAAAAATTGAGAATAATGGATTCAGTAATTTCAGAGACAGACGACAAACAGACGGAAATGGCAGACTTATTTTTTCGTACTCTGAAAGTTATGAAAAGTTTAGAAAACATGAAAGTACCTACTCCCCCGATGGACGCTATTGCAATACTTCCTTACCTTACGTTCGGAAACTAAAAACTGATTGAAGGTTCAAAACTTCCCTCGCCCCTGAACTACAGTCCAGCACTCGTGACGTCAGAGTTATTGGAACTTTTAAAGTAGAATTAATTTTAGTTAAATCAAGAATGCAGTTATTACTCTTATTTATTTTATACGGAGACGTTGAATAATAATCTAAGTCAACGCCACATTCGCAATAAAATTTAAATAAAAAAGTATGATGACAAGTTTCGGTACCTACTGGTATCATCATCAGAGCTAAATAACCAATAAATTAATAATGATAAATTTATCAGAAGGAAAAAGCCTTTAAAAAAAATAGAGGGCGGATGGGCGGGGCTAGTACTTGTTAAAGATAAGACTGATTTTGACCAATGACGTATCCTCTAAGAAAATAGACGGTGGGTGGGCTACGCTCTTAACAATCGACTTGTGAGTCTGTAAAAAATATAAAAAAATCTTTCTCATATTTTGGTGGAGTTATGAATCGTAAGTACAGGAGTATATTATTTTATAAAATTTGAATGGTACCTGTTTATCATGAGAAATTTGCGGTGACGTTATCAGAGTGCTGGTGGGGATGAACAAAAAAATATATTCTTTTAATTTTTTATTAGTTATTATTATTATTAAAAAAAATATTCAGCTTTATTTGTTTGGGGTAATATACAATCACCTGCCTTTCTAATTGTTTTATATTTTAGATGTGGCGTCACAAAGGTTTTGACCTCCTGTCTCCCTTTGAACGTGTAACGTAATTTATGTTTGACCCCTTATTTGCGATAACCTCTATACATAAAAATATAGACAATAACTGTTGGAAAATTTGGATGCTTTTAGGAAAAACTCAAAGCGGTTTCATAAACCACAAGTGTAGGAGTATATTATTTTATGAAATTTAAAACTTAAATTTAAAAATATTATGGATATTAAGTTTATTGTACTATTACTTTACCAATATTATTATAATTCCCCTGAAGATGACTGTCATTCTGTATCTAAAACATATGCCACATTGCATAACTTTTTGGTATAAATTCTTTTAAGAAAAAAACAGTTTATTACGATTGATTTTTAAAATTGTAAAATATTGATGGATACACTATAAATTTTATCCGAAGATCGTGGATGACATATGAATTGTCCGACTTATGAAAATTAAAATAAAAATGTTTAATCAAATTTTTGGAAATAAAAGAAGTTCCACTGAAATTGAAGCTCAGTTATTTTATGGGAAGAAACGAAGAAGATCGATAAACAAGACGTATAGTAATCGAGACCATCGGGCGATTTACCACTTTCATGTTTTCTCGACATTTTCATGACCCCTAGAGTACGAAAGAGTAGAACTCGCGTTTCCGTCTGTCTGTCGTTTATCTGTCTGTCGCCTGTGTCAATTTTTATTAGACAGATAAACTTCGAAACTACCGGACCGACCGTTGTCGAATTTTCTATGTATTTTAGAAATATTGTGTACATGGTAAAATGCTAACCAGAATTTGTCTAATTGTCCCCACCTTTAATGGAATGACGTCATCTTTAAAATTTACAATAGTAAATTTTATGAGATAAGATACTTCTGTACTTGTGGTTTATGAATCCGTGTTGACTTTTTACTCTCGACATTCAGATTTTCGAGAAAAAAAATCAAAAATAATAGATAACACAATTTTACAATTTAACTTTAAAATTTCAAAATCGAATGCTCTGAAATCTTACAAACGTTTTAAGTTTATAGGAAGCTTATAAATCGTTAATACAAATTTATTCGTTTATGACTTTCTCAAACTATGATGGCGTCACCTTTTTTGCCTAATATGTTGTTTAAATTTTATAAAATAACGTACTCCTGTATACGCGCTTTATGAATGTATTAAATTTTTAACCTAAGAATTCAATTTGTTTTGAAAAAATATAACTTTGAAATTGTTCTGTTTATGACCCTCCTCTAAAGATTATTACGTGGTGTTACAATTTTACTGAATAAATGTTATTCACAGTTATGAGTCCAACTTTTTTACAAAAAAAACATTTCCTCTGCGTCGAAGAGATAAAATTCCTGATGCTTGTAATCTCGACGTGCTAATTCTTGAAATCTTTCGACGCACAATCTTAAACAGTCGAAGTTAAGCCTGTACTAAGAAACTGAGAATACATGTTTCCCCTTTGTTATTTGTTTTAACTATATTTCATCTAGTCTCCACTCACGGCGTAGGAGATGTGGGAGTGTTTCTTAGGCTATTAGTTAAAATTTTGTAGAAGTTGTCATATACCCAAAATATCAAAAATTATATTTCATGTTCATTGTTCATAAAAACTGATCCGTTAACTTTTTCTAAATTGTTTAAAACATATGTTAGGCCGATCTTGGAATTTGCTAATGCAGTGTGGGCCCCTATATTCCAGCGCGACAAAGATCTTCTCGAGTCTGTTCAAAGACGAGCTACGCGTGTTCCTTATGGCTACCATAGACCCCAGTATCACCAAAGATTATCAATTATGCAACTTCCGCTGCTTTCGAATCGGCGAGTTAGAGGTGACGTGATAACTGTATACAATGCTCTGACAGACGATAATTCTCCGATAAAGCATATATTTCCTCTCAATACAGACGGACGGACACGAGGGCATTCATACAAACTTCTTAAAGACCGGTTTCGTACCAGTGTTAGACAGTTCTTCATTGTTAACCGTGTGTTTAATGCCTGGAATTCTCTACCTGCAGAAGTTGTACAAAGTACAAGTACAGCCACCTTTAAAATGAAGTACGATAATCATATTGACGAAAACCTTAATCGTAGTTAAACATATTTACTTCATACGCTTTATTTATTGAGTACTCCCATTAGTGAGCGCGGGCATAACAGGTAGTAACCTCTGCCCGATCGCATTTTACAATAATAATAATATTAATAATAATAATAATAATAATATTTTATACTTCACAGTGACATTGTTGCAAGTTGATGTTTTTCTTATAGTTGTTCCTGTGATTACCACGATGAACGAAAAAATACTTACTAATTTTTCTTATCTAAGCAATCATTTTACAAGTACTTTAAGGCAAGTTATTGCTGTCATTTCTATATTCATTAAATTACCTGAAAATGCCAAAAAAGATAAACATCGTATTTTGTTAATTATTTTATTTTCAGCAGTAAATGGTATTAAGTGTAAATAAAACGATCGAAAATAACAACTTAGTTGAAAGATTGTGATCAAAAAATACGCATTTTTACCGAAATTTTCGGGATTAGAAAAATATGTATAGCAGCGGCAATAAAAATTGATAAAGTTATTCCAATACTTAACAATTTTACTTAATTTGTGATTTAGTTAAAATATGTTTCTTTGACAGAATATTGTTAGACTGGATTCGATTGTAAAACAAATAGAAATATGGCTTTAAAGTCATCAAATAACAATCGTTTTTGTTCGTCATTTTTACTAAATTATTTTTATAGATTTTTGTTCTATAAATTTTCCATCCCACTGAACAAATCTCATACTAAAATGATAAAGGGATTTGCGAAATAACGGTTTAGTGATATAAATTGCTTCAACAGAAGCAGTTAACGTAAAAAGTCAAAAATTATCTAAAATGGAAGCCGCTAAATTTGTTTTTCTTCTAATTATCTCATCCTTATACTACTATACAAATGGAGTAAGTGCTTTTTCTTCTATTTTTGTTCATATATATATAAATGATAAACATTTTTACACAGAAAGTTTCGCCTCGGATAATTGGGGGTGAAGTTGCCAGAGCATCCCAGTTTAGGTTTGCAGCAGCCATTTACACACATACCGCCGACAGCAAATTTTTCTGTGGTGGCGCCCTAACCGGAAACCAGTGGATTATAACGTCAGGAACCTGCGTATACAAGTAATATTTTTTCTACAACTACCGTTTACCATCTTAGTAATTTAGTGCTGAACTTTTTACAATACAACTCGGGTCTAACACTCTCGAAGGAGAAGATTCAAATCGCGAAGTGTTGGCCACATCTACTTACTATCTGCACCCTGATTTCAACCCTGAGACGCTTGAGAATGATATTGCTGTCATTGAACTTCGAATGGCTGTTATGTTGAACGGTAACTGTAATTTAGGTGATTAATTTATTCCTATGGTGGTGGTATTATAGGGTACATACAACCCATTTATGCAACATCCATGGACCACCAAAACAACACTGATGCCATAAGTTTAGGGTTTGGACAAGTAAGCGACTGTAAGTTTGTTCAAAATTTTCTCAATTAGAAAATTAGTAAGTTGGTTTCAGCTGATCCAGAGCTGTCTAACGAGCTTAGGTATGTATCTACTGTCACTTTAACTAACGAAGAGTGTCGTCTGTATTACGGAAATCAAATTGTGGACAATATGGTTTGTGCTAGTGGAAACTACAACGAAGGAACTTGCATTGTGAGTATTTTCAAAAACTGGATTTGTGTTTAATTTTTGATTTTGTAGGGTGATAATGGGGGACCACTCGTAATCACCAATGGAAAATATTTTTCTTTGATTGGAGTGGCAAGTTTCATCAGTGCTAACGGCTGCGAAAGTACAGATCCCTCGGGGTATACAAGAATTCGTCCATATGCTGACTGGATTCACAACATCACTGGTCGATATGGATAGTAAATATTTGAACCAAGTTTATGGAAAGAATATAAACTTAATATTTGTATTCAAGTTGGACTTAAATTAAAGTTGAACATAGTTTATTCTTTATCTCCTGATTCCGTCCATCTGTAAGTCGGTGATGTTTTAAAACAGATTATTTCTGAAACTACTGATTTTTAATGCATTTTCAGGTCATGGTATCGATTTTTAAAGCCGAATCAAATTTTTTCTGTTCATCCGTGTGAAATAATTTGTGACGTCATCTGAAATAATATTATATTTTATGGTATTTCCGAACAGGATTCCTCCCTAGATAGTAAAAATCGTAGAGAAAAGGACTCCGAATTTCTATCTGATTTTCTACAATTTGTTAACGCCGATCCAAACGACTATATGACTCCAGAATCACAGATTCTTCTTCCGTCTCGTACCTTGGCAAATTTGAAGCAAATCCTAACAAGTCGCGTCCTATTAAAATAACACTCAATGACAACCAACAAGTACGAAACCTACTGAGTCTGATAAAAAAAAATCGTGCAAATATTGAAGGTAACCCACGCTTTAAATCAATTCGAGTTTCATTGGATCGCACAAGTCGACAACGTCACTATTACAATGAATTAAAGGACCAAATTAAACAAAGACTGGAGAACGGAGAAGAAAATCTTTTCATAAAATATGTTCGTGGTATACCTACCATTCAAAAATCTTTAAACTAACCTCGCCCAAATGCCATAAACGTAATTTAAATATTTATTATCAAAACGTTAGGCGACTTCGAACAAAAACGGTTAATTTCTTTAACAATCATTCTATTTCTGCTGACAATTATGACATAATTGGATTGACCGAAACCTGGATGACTGAGGATTTTGCTAATTCGGAACTTTTTTCTACTTCTTTCCCTGTGTTCAGATGTGATCGTAATTTATCAATTATCGGTGGTACTAGAGGTGGTGGTGCATCATTAGCATTCAGTAAAGCGTTAACCTGTGAAAAGTTAGATCTACATTGTATCACTAAGTGTGTTCCAACAATTGATATTGTTGGTGCCAAAATTTCATATTCGCCTAATACTAAATTAATAATACTTGTTGCTTACGTTCCTCCAGCCACTGAATTTGCTTCACATGAACTCTTTTTTGATTTACTGCCAAATCTTCCATTTATATATGATAATCATGTTATACTGTTAGGAGATTTTAACTATGAAAAACTTTTTAATTTCACACAATGTAATTATGTAACTAATTCCACCGGTTGGGTTCTAGATCTTGTCTTATCTAATTTTGATAACTGCTCAGTCACTAAGCAATTTCCGCTTATAAAAGAAGATAATTATCATCCATCATTGTCCGTACAATTAACCATTCAAGCAGATAAATATAACAACTTCCAAAGTAATGCAATTCATAAAAAATACAACTTCAAAAAAGCCAACTTTCCTCGATTATAAGAGCTTTTGCTACAAACTGATTGGACCTTTTTAAACAAATTCTCTGAGATAAACGCAGCATGTCAAGCCTTCTATGATGCCTTATATAAAATATTAGATCAAACTGTTCCTGTAGTTAAATATAATAAATCTTCATTCAAATATCCTCCTTGGTTTAGCGTTGACTTGATTAAAAATATACGTAAAAAAGACAGGCTACATAAAAAGTTTAAGAAAACCGATGATCACACTGACTATATCAATTTTAGCGCCTTAAGAGCTAGCATCAAGTATCAGTCTAAACTTTCTTTATAAAAATTTTATTCGTTCAACAGAAGAAAAGGTTACTAATGACCCTAAATTAATTTGGACATACATTAACTCTCGTAAAAATCGGTCAAAAATACCTAATATTATAACAGATCAACAAAATTTACAACAAGAAGGGTCTGATGCAGTTGTTAATGCTTTCTCAACGTACTTTGGTAGTGTATACATATATAAATTCGACACCCCAGGACAATGGAAACTTTAATACTGGTCCTACTTCCTTGGAATACGTAAATATAAAATCTATCTCTGAAGAAGACATAATAGAGGCAATCTTAAAGCTAAATAACAAATTAACACCCGGTGTAGACCAAAGTCCAAGTTTTATAGTCAAAGACTGTCCTTCAGTGTTTGTCAGACCACTTCATATGTTATTCAATCTTTCTCTAAAAACCAGTACCTTTCCCAACATTTGGAAGCAGGCTCGAATATGTCGAGTTTAAAAAAAAATGTATTCCAACTTCTGGCGTGCCACAAGGCTTAAATTTGGGTCCTTTACTATTTCTCTTATTTATTGGTGGTTTACCTGGGCTTCTTAACTGCAGAAAACTACTATTTTCCGACGATCTTAAGCTATATTATAAAATCACTACTATTTCCGATTGTCATTTATAGCAAAACGACATTTACACTCTGGTCGATTGGTGTAAGCACAATCGATTAGAATTAAATTTTCATAAATGCTTCATTATTACGTTTACCAAGTCAAAAAGTCCGATTATATTTTTTTATACTATAAATAATAACATTCTAATTCGTAAAACATCAATTAAAGATTTGGGAGCACTGTTTGATTCAGAGTTAAATTTCTCCGGACACATAACATCAATAGTGGCCATTGCTTTCTTGTTTCGTAACTGCAAATATTTCACAAATATCCAGTGTTTAATTGCACTTTATAATGGTTTAATCAGATCTAAATTGGAGTATGGTTGTTTAATTTGGTCACCTATCCATAAAGTATATATACAACAGATTGAAAAGATTCAGCGAAAATTTTTAAAATATCTAGCGTTCAAAGAAGATGGATTCTATCCCCACAGAGGCTTTAGTCAAAATACTCTCGTAGACAGATTTCACGTTACATTTCTATTAAATTCTTACATAATTTACTGAATAATAAAATTGATTGTATAAACTTATTGTCTTAAATTAACTTTCACGTTCCAAAATTAGGTACAAGAAGTTCTATTTTTTTTTATGTAAACACTTCTCGCACGAATGTTTTAGTTCGATCTCCAGTACATCTGATGTGTAACAACTTTAATAAATTCTGCTCAACTTGTGATATCTCCGAAGACAACATATAGAAGTTGATGACCGGCATTCAGGCAAGACTTCTATCATTACGGGTACTAAGACCAAGTAATGATATTATTATTATTATTATTAATAATATTAATTACTAAAAAATTGGTCGAAAGTTATTTCGACATTTTTTTCAAATCCAACTTTTTCGAAAAATTATAAAATTTTTATTATGCGTTTTTTTATGAGAACCCTTAGTAATACTAATTGTATCAGTAATGTATTTCCAAATTTTCGGGAAAATGGAGTGAGCCGTTACCGATTTAATCGATAAAATAAATTGACTCATTCATTTATTTTTATGAGTGGCTCTACATAAGAAATTTAAAAACTTTTAATGCAGTGATAAATCACAAGTATAAACTCATCATATTTTGCACATTTTTGAAAGGATTTATTTGGTAAAATTTTGAGATGACGTCATCCATTTTTTGAGAGGGGATAAACGAATAAATTTTGCTTAACCTTTTACCATGTTTGCAATAACCTTAGAATATTTACAAGTTTTCAGAGCATTCGGTTTTGGAGTTTTAAAGTGATATTGCCAAATATTGTTGTGCAGTTTTTGAATTTTTTGCAGGAGTATCTTATTTTATAAAATTTAAAAAAACTTACTATTATAAATTTTGGAAATGACGTCAACACATTGGTTGGGGACGATTAGTCAAATTTTAGTTAGCGTTTAACCATTCACATGATATTCCTAATATACGTTCAAAATGTGACAACAATTTGTCCAGTAGTTTCGGAATTTCGGAAATTACTTGTCTAAAAAAATGGATACAGACTGATAGATAGATTGACAGGCGGAAACGGGAGACCATTTTTCTCGTGCTCTACAGATCATGACACGTCGAGAAAAAATGTAAGTTACGCTCGGGAAGTAAAAATAGAATTTTTGTGGATTGTTTAATAAGTAAAGAAAAGTGGTAATTTTCCAGTGAGTGTATAGGCATGGAAAACATTTTTTTTACTTATGCTATTTTTTAGTGAACTCAGTTTTTAAAAGTTGAAAATAACAGAATTTCAAAAATAACACAGTTATCGGAGGCCACTTGCTATTTTGCTGTAATAGTAAAAATAACGTCCTTGTAAACCTTGTAAAAGGCATTTGTTTCAAGAAAAAATAATCGCATTCGACACCACTCTCTCTCTTAATAAGTTGGCCTAATTAAATTTTACTTCTTTCTTTGTAATTGTAACATTTATTTTGCTGTTGTCAAAATTCGGGAGATTTTAACTGCTACTTGGGGTTAGTAGAGTATCGCGTCCGTACCCAAATGTAGAGTTTTTTTTCTCATTGTCATTCTTCATGTGAAGGTTTATCTGCAGTACCGAATTTCCGCAGTTAATGAATCAGGGTGTCTAGTTGGTAGTGTTGTAATTGGTTAGTGCATATGGACCCTAGGAGGAAACGCTTCGTTTTGCTTGTGATACGTCCTCACACTGTAATTCGTCTCCAGTCAGCCTTGTTTTTTCTGGCTCAACTGCCGTACCTTAAATTAAAATCAACAGACAGACGACAGACAGATAGACGGAGCCTAGTTTTCGTACTCTAGGGATTATGAAACGTCGAGAAAAGATGAATTCGTACATGAAAATCCAAAACAAAGAGACTCAGAGATATGTAGAAAAGAATAATAAATGAAGAAATAGAAGAAATTAGGAAAAGTGGGACGACAAGCAATCCCGTCAGACTATAACATTATTCAAAAGGAGTCGGTATGGAAGATCAAATATTATTCAATCAGTTGTCCCAGTATTTATAGGTGCGACAGGTTTAATGTCCAGGAGTGTTCCAAAGCTGATAGCAGATGAAATACCCGGAAAACATAACTTAGAAACAAATTAAGATAAACAGCTATTTATTTAACATAAGAAAAAATCATAATTCTTGAAAAATAAGTAGACAATAATAATAATAAAGTGATAATTACCATGAAAAGGCACCGAAAATGAAACTTTTTTTATGAGAGTTCATTCAATATTTACAAAGTTATAAATTATGAAAAAAAAAACGTAATAATAATAATAATTTACTTTATTTTTAGCAATAGTTAAACGGTATTAAGTGTAAATAAAACAATCAAAAATAATAACTTAGTTATAAGGTTATCAAAAAAGATACCATCTTCTACCGAAATTTTAGGGATTAGCAAAATATCTTTTGCAGCGGCAATAAAAATGATAAAAATATTCCAATGCGTAAACAATGTTGCTTAATTGATTTCGTTAAAATAGTTTGGCTCGAGTTGAGTTTTAAAATAAAATTGAAATGTTATTTTAAACGTGTCTTCAAGTAACTATCGCTTTTTGCAACTCCATTACCTTTTGTTTTTACAAATTTCTTTACAAAAGTCTAGAAATGTTCCATCCCAATAAACAATTATCAAGGAATTCAGCTGATATTACGTCAGAGGAACTACTTCTATCATCTTAAAATCATAAAAGGATTTACGAAATAATCACTTAGTCAATTATTTCATAATACACATTGCTTCCAGTTTTTATAAAAGCAGTTCATTTAAAAAGTCAAAAATTATCGAAAATGGAAGTTTCTACATTTATTTGTCTTTTAATTTTTTCAACCTTGTCCTACCATGCAAATGGAGTAAGTATTGTTTTCTATTTTATTCAAAAAAGTGATCAAAATTTTTGCGCAGAATGTTTCAACTCGGATAATTGGAGGTGAAGTCGCCGGTGCATCCCAGTTTACATTTACAGCAGCCATTCACGTACACACCGCCGACAGCAGATTTTTCTGTGGTGGCGCCCTAACCGGAAACCAGTATATTATAACTTCAGGAACTTGCGTATACAAGTAATATTTTTTCTATAATTGCGCCATACCACCCTTTGAGTTTAGTGCCGAACTTTTCACAGTGATACTCGGATCCAACAGTCTCGAAGGCGAAGATCCAAATCGCGAAACCTTGGCCACGTCTACTTACCACCTGCACCCTGATTTCAACCCTAACACGCTCGAGAACGATATTGCAGTCATTCAACTTCGAATGCCTGTTATGCTGAGCGGTAAATTGTACTTTTCGTGATCAATTTTTTACTATGGTGGTAGTATTCCAGGGTACATACAACCCATTTATCCATCATCAATGGACTATCAGAATAACACTGACGCCATATCCTTAGGGTTTGGACAAACAAGCGACTGTAAGTAGGCTCCAAATTTGTGTATTTAGAAAGTTTAAAAATCGGTTTCAGCGGATCCAGAGCTTTCTAACGAGCTTAGATATGTATCTACCGTCACTTTAACTAACGAAGAATGTCGGTTGTTTTATGGAAATCAAATTGTGGATAGTATGATTTGTGCTAGTGGAAACTACAACGAAGGAACTTGCATTGTGAGTATTTTCAAAAATTGAATTTGTGTTTAATCTGGTATTAAAGGGTGATAATGGAGGACCGCTTGTAAGCAGAGTTGGTAAATATCATTATTTGATGGGGGTGGCAAGTTTCATCAGTGCTAATGGCTGCGAAAGTACAGATCCGTCAGGCTATACAAGAGTACTTCCATATTATAACTGGCTCAGCAACGTCACTAATCGTTATGGATATTAAATATTCGATCTAAATAAGTTTATAAAAAAGATAATGAACTTGATATTTGTAATAAATTAAATAATTGAAGACATTTCAAGAAACACTGTAATAGTAAAGTAACTTTGTAAAGTCTCTATCTCCCATTGCCATCTGATTGTCTTTGATTTTTTCTGTTCATCCTCGTGAAAAGTTTTGTGACGTCATTTCAATCTCTGCCATTTAATTTTAAACCAAAAAACGTAATTTTAAAATTATATAATTTTTAATGTATAAATGTCAAATATTAAAACGAGTAGAAGCGGAATGTCAAAAACTTTATAATAATTCGTGTAAGATTCCTGTATCAACTTTTTTAGAAATCGTTCGAAAATTTTTACCTTTGTTTAACATGTGTAATAATGCCCAACGATTGAACGTTTTTTTAGTTGAACTGCACACTATCAAATCTCTGAATTTTAGCGAAATTTAATCAAATATGTATATAACGTACCCGTTTTTCATAAATATTTAGTAATTGGGGTTCGCCCTAAAAATTAATAATAATAACTTTTTTAGGTTATAAACTGTAAATTTGGTTGTACGAAATTATTTCTTATTAACGAGTAAATTGTACTCATTGTAACCATAAATATTATAGGTGCCCTATCTCTAATCCTAGTAATACTATAAGTGCTAAATACTAACCTGGTTTTATTTTCAATATCAGTACCGTTTTCTTAACACAATGACAAAGTTTTACAGCGTTTTACCCTTTCTTTTCATTTGTGGCACAATTTTGTCTTCAACAGTAAGAAATATTCCTCAGAAATGTACCCAAAGTTGATCTAAATAACATTTTTAGGAAGCAACAGTGCTTACAAAGCAACCCAATGGTAAGCCTTTCTTAAGGTAATTTACGGTTTTTCCATAAATAATAATATTTAGGAGCACGGATAATCGGTGGTCAGCCTGCATTTGCAGGTCAGTTCGCTTTTGCTGCAGCCATTTACGTCCAAACCAGCGACAGCCAATTTTTTTGTGGTGGGACTCTAACAGCTAATCAGTGGGTTCTTACTTCTGGCCATTGCGTCTACAAGTTCGTTATTTTTTTGAACTTTAATAGAAAAATTGTTGCTATTTTGAAATTGTAGCTCTGTTCTTTTCACAATTCAACTGGGATCGAACGATTTAGAGTCAGATGACCCCAACCGTGTGACTGTTTCCAGTTCTACATATATTCTACATCCTGATTTTAACCCGGATACCATAGAACATGATCTTGGTTTGATTAAATTACGAATGGAGGTTACGTACACGAGTATGTTCCTGATTTTATAATTTTTGTATTGGAATTTGCCTGTTATGATTTATTATAGTTTATATACATCCAATTCATCCAATGGAGAGAGAGTTGTGGGATGATGCCCGCGTGTATATTCCAGGTTGGGGACAAACTAGCGATTGTAGGTCTCGGTATATATCAGAGATATAATTTATTGTTATAATTATTATTTCTTCAAAGTTGATTCTGCACTTACTAACGAGCTAAGATATGTATACATTTCGACTATTACAAATGAGGAATGTCGAATTACATATGGAAATCAGATTACTGACAATATGATTTGTGCTATTGGAAATTATAACGAAGGAACATGTCATGTAAGTTTATTTTTCACAAATATTTTTTTCATTTATGAGAATGTTTCAGGGAGACAACGGTGGAGCACTGGCTGTACAAAATGGGAGAACCTACGCTCTTGTGGGTGTTGGAAGTTTTGTTAGTTCCGATGGTTGCGAAAGTACTCATCCTTCTGGGTTTACTAGAACGGCACCGTATTATCACTGGATTGTAAATATCACTCATGAAACTGATTAAATTGTTTGTATTCTTATTATAAACTTACATAATAAAAGCTTGAAACATATACTTGAATTTACATATTTTATATAGGGGAAAGTCCCCTCATTCGGACCTAGTGGGACATTTTTTCAATTAAAACCAAAATGTAATACGATATTAACTTATCTAGTGTTGAGCCATTAACTTTGACATGTTTTCAATGTTTGGTAATTTTTTTAGAATTTTTTGAAACATTCAAATTGGTTAAAAAAAATAATTTTTGAAGGTCTGCAAGTGGTCCAAAATAGGAGACTGGGTTCCTAAATTGGACCACTACATTCTTGAATTGGACCACCGGTTCTTAAATTGGACCTTCTTCGTAAAAATGCATGAAATGAACATAATTTTATTTAAAATGTGAAAAAATACGTTCATATATGTTAAAAAAGTCTGTAACATTTTCTCTGTTGAAACCTTTCGCCCGAGCCATGGATGTTTTTTCTGGTAATCGAAGTGATAGTTCGGGATGTCTTCTAATGAAATTGTAATACCATTTTTTTTCCAGCACGTTGTAGAGTATTGTTAAATCTGTGGTATATTTTGTTTTTCTCCACCAATTGATATGCAGGGTTCATCACATCTCGTCTGGTGATTCCAAAAAAGCAAGCTTCTAACCTAAGGACGTGTTCCACTAAATCAGCTTCTAATTCGGCAGGCAACGTTGTAATCACCCCGGCGCGTTTCGTACTGCCCTTAATGTGTTTGTTACTATCTGACAAACGTCTTTTAAATGTGGCTTTTGGCACATTAAATTGCCGACAACATTCGTTCAACCCTAGTTGATTTTTACGAAAAGCAGTTAGTGCGTTATTCATGTCTTCTTCGCTCCATTTATAATACTTCTTTTTTGCTTGTTTTTCCGCATCCATCTAGTATAAAATCATAGTTAATAGATTATAACAAGAAAATTTATTATTGGGCATTGTAATACGAAGTTCTAAAATTACGCGCTTAGATACTGTGACATGATTGGTCAAATCGGGAGTTCCTTTAATTAGACCGGTCCAAATAAGGAGAATCTAAGGTGGTCCAATTTACGCGCTGGTACAAAATTTACTATTTTCTTGCGTTAAAACGCTATAACGAAATAAAACATATTTATTTCTAGGTTAGGTTCTTAATTTTATTGCGCTTTGACCAATGTAGTCTTTGTGCACTGTATTTATGAAATAATTTAGGCTACATATCCTTACAAAAACATGCGAAAAGTTGTATCACAATGGTAGCAAAATTTCTTTGCAATTTAACAAGCAGACACTTACCGCTACAGAATGGAATTTTGCACAACACTGCTTTGGCGCCAAATACTTTCGAATAATATGCATTAGATGTCGGCAACTATTCTAGATTTAAAAAAAATAGGGTGGTTCAATTCAGGCACTGGTCCAATAAGGGGGACTTTCCCCTACCTATTCTTTTAATTTTTTTTAAACAAAACGTATGTCTAATAGCTTTGCCTTTCTCATCAATTATTATCACTTTTCCTTGTCTCAATAATGCATTATTATTTGTTTCATTTTTATATTTTATTTCATCACATATTTTCTTACAAATTCTACGATCCACCTCTGCTTCGTGTTGAGTATGCTATGTTTTCTTAATTTTTGCCTTTCAATCAGTTTTAGTTAGTTACTAAAACATATTCAGATATTTTGAGTCATCTTTTTTCGCGGTGTTTTTAATGTATAAATATTTTCAAATTTTACCAAAAAGACCCACAAGTATGAGAATTTTTTCCTGACTTCGTCGTTTTAATATATGTATTTATGAATACCACTTAAATCGACATTCGAGTAAAAATTAACTGCTTCGTATTTTAAAATCAACTTCGTGCTCGCTTACTTGCCGACCCTTTGATCAATTATTAAATTGAGATAGTCACACTTTGTAATTATTAACCTCAAAGTTATACTTTACATTCAGCGTCTTTTTCAGGCATCGATTTATCTGTTTCCGAATAATTTAACGTTTGAAAGTTAAATAAGAAACAAATTGTGTCTTCTTCAGTTGAGTGTCTACTGTGTCAAGTGAACATTCAAATCTCAAGGTAAACATTTTTTTTTTTAATTGTGTATATATCTTTTTTTAGAAGAAAAAGAAGCATGGAAGAAGATTATTTTCGACTTTTGCTAAAATTGTACCAATTCAGTGGTCTCAAAGTATCCAGTAATTTATTTTCAAGGGTTATATCTCTCTACATTTTGTACCCATTGCTACTCATTGTACTTATGATGGCACTAATTAATTTTTACTACAAGCATCAAAACGTAAACGAAATTGCTGAAGTTTTTATTTCAGTTAATAGTTTTGGATACGTAATAACCAAATTGCTTGTAACGAACGTCGTTAACCTTTTCTTATTTCAGATGGTCCTTTCTAAAACCTTGTTTATAATATATGGACCGCTCTTTGAAGATCTTAACAACAAGAGAGTGCTATTTTGGAAATATCACATATTTGGGAGCAGTGACGGGAAAAACTTCCACAAAAAAATGTCATCCGCTCTTTTCATTATAAAACTTTTGTGGGTTTCAGGAGCTTTTTCTATTGTGCTACATTCATTGGCTCCACTGTTTGTTGAAAGCTTAGATTTGCCGCACGCTTGTTGGATTCCTGGGAATAACAATATAATAAAAAATATCATTTATGTACTAGAAGTAATTTTCTACGTGGAGGTGGTGTCACTCTTGGGTCTGGTTGACGGTTTTTTTCTTCTAATGTGCACTGAGCTTAAAATTCAGTTTGAATTATTATGTCATATGGTTTCTACGATCACTGTGGAAGAAACGTATCAAGAAATGTGCTTTAAAAAACTGAAATATTCCCAGAGCTATCACAACTTTTTGTTAGAGTACGTTTTGTTTTTTTAGATCTGTACGTTATTAGTTATTATTGCGTTTATTTTCAGGATGCACAAAAAACTGGATACCATTTATTCTGGATATTTTGTTTGTGCATACTTTTTTACTATAGGAGGGACAGTGTGCCCCTTTTTGTTATTTTCGACAAGTAATAAACCAGAAAATGTTTGAAAATGGGTGATTTTTACAAATAATGTATGTATTTTAGATATTCAAATTTTGCCGAAATTTCTGAAAGTGTATTTTTCATCACAATAGCAAACATGATGTTTACGATAATTATTATTCCAGCTGATGAAGTAGAAATTACTGTAAGATCTGTTGTTGTGTGACATTGAGGATAGCATTTTTTGTTTTAGTGTGAACTTTTGGCCAACCAAATTTACTCTATTGACTGGTATAATTCAAACGATTTAAAAATACTAAAATTTGTCCGTTTTTGGTTGTCACAGGCTCAAGTACCAGTACAGATGTCAGGAGCTGGTATTTTTCAGATAAATAGATCCCTTTTGTTACGCGTAAGTTACATACAAATATTTTTTTTAATTATTGTTATAAATACTGCGGAATTTAACAATCTCTTTTTTAATTAAAAAAATCCAAACCCGTTTTCATCGTTTATGTTTTATTTTTTTGTATCAAAAATGCGAATCCCTCAGAACTGTGACTTGTAAAAACTTAAAATTTGAAAAAAATCACTTCACATTTTCACTTTTGAGCCATTTTTAACAAAAAACAAATTCCGATTTTTTCCAGCAATTTAAATATGAGAACATCGATATACTTTCTATGTACTTATTGTCCAAAGTCTAATTATCTCTGAAAAGAACAACGAAACGAAGCTCTAACATAGGATATCCCTCATTTTTACATGTACACCTATCTTAATTATTTTTCAGGTTCAACGCATTGGTTATTCTCTTTCAACTTTAATGACTGGACTCAACTAAATGTTTCTTTGAAGTAAAAAATTGTTACTTATGTAAAATGTAAGTTATAACAGGTGATTTTTTAGATTTTTGCTCTAGTTACCCATAACGCTTACGTCAGCAGTGAAACGTTTTGCATAACTTGAACTTGAAAGGTGTATTTTGGGTTGCCTGAATATTCAGCGTCATTGTGAAAAAGTTGGGTTATTCAAAGTTGATGTTACCAAACTAAATTATGAATTGTTTCATATTTTGAATGCCGGACAAGAATTAGGGTTCTCCATTTTTTGACAAAACTTATAGAACTAACAAAAAGACACGTGCAAGCTACCAAAACGGTAAAGAAATTAGCTGTTAGGCAACCCAAAATACACACTTCAAGTTCAAGTTAGGCAACACGTTTCACCGTTACCCTAAGCATCATGAGTAACTAGAGCAGAAATTTAAAAGTCACCCGGTTTAAGGAACTAATGAGTGAAATATTGTAGATGTCATGGATTTTTATGTTTGAGACACTGCAGTTGTTACACACTTTTTTTCTTTGTTTTAATTTTACACAGTAAATTAGTTTACGTGGTTCTCTGTTCTTTTTGATTAACCAAAATTAGTTTATTCATTAGTAAAATTAATGGGTGGATGCTTGTCGCTTTTAGAGGTAGGCATAAATTTTCCATAAAATAAAGGGGTGACGCCAGTGATTCGTTTATTCATCCCAATCAACAATTTGATAACATCGAAAATTTATTATCCATAATATCCAGTTATATTGTAAATCCACTCTCCATATTGGTAAATTCTTGTGTAACCTGAAGGATCTGTGCTCTCACAACCATTTCCACTAATGAAGCTTGCAACCCCAAAAATCATGACGTGTCTACCACCTTCAGTTATTACTAATGGTCCGCCAGTATCACCCTTTTAAACAATTTAAAACCACATATTTCTGACTTTATTACCACTTGGAATACTCACAATACAAGTTCCTTCATTATAATTCCCAGAAGCACAAATCATATTGTCCGTAATTTGACTTCCATAATACAGACGACACTCTTCGTTCGTCAGCGTTGTGGTAGCTATATATCTAAGGTCATTAGAAAGTTCTGGATCAGCTAAAAGTATAAATTTCCTTTTTTATAAGTTAGTTATTTAAGTCAAGATTTACAATCGCTTATTTGTCCAAATCCTAAGGATGTAGCCGGAATATTATTCACATGGTCGTAGCTTGCGATAAAAATTGGTTGGATATACTCTATAGCCATAAAAAATTAAAACACTAATTAACAACTCTCTACTTTTATAAAAAGTTACCATTTAACGTAACGGGCAATCGAAGTTCGATGACGGCGATGTCATTTTCAAGTGTGTCTGGATTAAAATCAGGGTGCAAATAATAGGTGGAAGTAGCAACAGTTACACGATTTGGATCGTCACCTTCTAGGGTGTTTGAACCAAGTTGAACTGTGAAAAGTTCAGCACTAAAAAAAAATGTTATTGGATAAGTATCATACAAGAAAACGAATGATTACTTGTATACCCAGTATCCCGAAGTTATAATCCACTGATTTCCAGTAAGGGCACCTCCACAGAAGAATTTACTGTCACTAGTTTGCACATGAATGGTTGCTGCAAATCTAAACTGACCCGCTCGTGCAACCTCACCCCCAATAATCCGAGACGAAGATTTCTAAAAAATAAATAAAGAATGAATGTGTAAATTGTGATTTCTGCTTACATTTTTTAACTATTCTTAATTGTACTTACTCCATATGCATATAGAAATAAAGCTGAAACAAGGAAAGACACGGTAAAGATAAAGTGGTTCATTTTACGTAATTTCTATTTTTCACAAACTTGGGAAACTACGAGAATGAAATCGATTTGTACACATCGTAAAAAATTTGCCAACTCGTTTTATGAGTCTGAGATGATACAGATAATTTTTTTATAATCCTAGAGATTTATAAGTTGTGGGTTATTCAGGAATTTGTCAAATGTACAAAATTTTTAAAATTAATGCGTAACAACATGATTCAAGAAAAATTTATGAACAAACAAGGTTCTTTATGTTTATAACGTTATAGCGTACGATTCAAAAAAATTAACCGAGAATATCTATGAAAAACCAAAAAATGTACTTATTGCATATATTTTTATCTAGATTAGTTTTTTTCTTTAATACTTTCCCCTCAGAGCCCAACAGCTTTGAGAACTTCGCATGTTTTTCTTTAGGCGTCTGCAGGCATTTCGGTGGATTCTAAGTGTCAAATTTCAATTCTGCCCTCATGAATATATGATTCAGCTTCAATGGAAGACACACCTACGGGTCTCCGTTTTTCACACCCCCAGGTAGCAACAACTCGTAGTGAAGGCGTAACCCTTTGGGTGTCAGGTGTGGAATTTGAACCCACGTTCTCTTTCAGGAATCTGAGCCGATGCCTTAGACCACTCGGCCAACCTGACCACACTTAATTGTTTTGTTCGATATTTCATTTATAAAGTAGTGAAAAAAAAACTGTCAGGTGTGGGCTTCGAACCTATGCTCTTGTGTGGAAGATCAATGGTCAATATTACAACCGGTCTACTTGATACCAAAAGTAATTGTTCCCTTCAGTTACAGTACTTATATAGTGGGGCTCCTACCCAGATCCAATGAGATCAAACTAATTTTTATCCACAAAATACGATGAAAAATTGTTTGTGCAACTCGAAGACTGCGAAACTCTTCTATCGATTTACTAAAAATTTACTGACTCAACGTTAAATATAGAATCAATATAGAATTTATTTTAAAGGATACAGACGATGAAGGATATGAAATATAAGACATATACGATTATAAAGAAACAAGCAAGATATCTAGTTATAAGTGTTATCAGTGTTATCACCATATGTTGAGATTTAATGATGGCTCCGAGTAAAACAAATTTTCATTGAATACTCATCGAAATGGTAAGAAAATACTCTCCAAAAATAGTGAATCTAGAAGCCATAGAGGATTGTGCGAAATTGACCAGAGAAATCCCAGCATGTGATAATCATATATCTATTAATAAAAAATGTTTCTGTTCATTAAACAATGCTAGATATGTTTACAGTTGACTGTATTCAATATTGCCTCAATAAATAACATAACATTAAAATGTGTTTCATTTAAAAGCTAAACAAAATTGCCAAACTGTATTTTTCTAACGGGTGAATGATGATTACACGAAGCAAAACGTAGAGGAAAAAACAGTCAGGTGTGGGATACGAACCCACGTTCTCTTTCGAGAGTCAGAGCTTAAAGTCGACGCCTTAGACCCCTCGGCCAACCTGACCACACTTAATTCAAAAACAATAAAATATGAAATAAAAATTTGATATTTAAATTAAAAAGCGGTGAAAAAAAATTGTCAGGTGTGGGATTCGAACCCACGCTCTCTTTTCGAGCATCGGGGCTCGTACCGATGCCTTAGACCACTCGATCAATCTAACTACAATCAACTGTCTTCTTTATAAATCTTTCCTATTACGCAAATAGACCCACCAAGAAAAATCAATGGTGGACATCAGACATGTAACTCAAAGTCAGAGAAAACATAAATTATGTTAGGAATTCGGTCAGTCATAAGATGAAAGCCAACTATATATACAGAAAATCTTTTAGTACAATAAAATAAAAAAAATATGAAAGTGGCAGGCCGATGGACTCAATTACTATAATTTTTTAGCTTACGCTTGGGAAGTAGAAATCACTCGGACTAAAAATTATAAAAGACAAAACAGGAAAAATATTACAGATAGAATCAATACTATAATAACTGCTACAATAATAGCATAGAATAATAACTGAAAAAAACAAAAATAATATGCTACCAATAACAGATGAAAAAATAAACGAAGTCATGAACAAACTGAAACTTGTCAGAGCACCAGGACAAGATGAAATCATTCCAGAAATGCTACAGTTGTCAACACCAAGTTGAAAACTATTGTTAAATCTTAACTAAATACTCATTAATCTTTTCGTTAGTTATCTAAGTTGTGAATGTGGTGCTAAATAGTTCAAGTGCAAACTTAATTCTTTTTAGGATTAGAGAAATCAGCAGAAAAATATTATTGGGAAGTTACCTAATGAGTCTATGAAGGTTAGTTATTATAGACCAGTCAACGTAGGTTAGATCAGAGTTGATTTTTATTATACCAACTCGGTAGTATTTGCTTTTAAGTTCGAGAACAAGGTTTGTATTAAAAACACATGACCATAAGTTTTTTAATTTATTACTTGTAAAATTTATTTGTTACAAACGTAACATTGATTATTTCTTTGTGCCCTTAACATGTTTGTTAAAAGCTCTTACATAACAGCCAAGATTTAATATCCATAACGACCAGTTATATTGTGAATTCAGTCTGCGTATTGATAAATTCTTGTATAACCGGAAGGATCTGTGCTTTCGCAACCATTTCCACTAATGAAGCTTGCAACTCCAATCAGCAGTGAGTTTCTACCACCAGTTATTATTAATGGTCCCCCAGTGTCACCCTTTCAAACAACATAAAATCACATATTTCTGATTTTATTACCACCTAAAATACTCACAATACAAGTTCCTTCGTTATAATTCCCAGCAGCACAAATCATACTGTCCGTAATTTGACTTCCATAGTATACAGACGACATTCTTCGTTGCTTAGCGTTGTGGTATCTGTGTATCTAAGTTCATTAGAAAGTTCCGGGTCATCTAAAATTATTACACATGTGCTTTTTACAGGTCAATTATTAGTTAAGACAAGGACTACCATCGCTTATTTGTCCAAATCCTAAGCATATAGCTTCAGTGTTATTCAAATAGTTCAAAGTTGAGACAAAAATTGGTTGGATATAGCCTATTCCAATAAAAAAATCACTAATTAAAAACCCTCCAATTTTTTAAAAATTACCATTAAGCATAACGGGCAATCGAAGTTCGATGACGGCGATGTCATTATCAAGTGTGTCTGGATTAAAATCAGGGTGCAAATAATAAGTGGAAGTAGCAACAGTTTCACGATTTGGGTCGTCACCTTCTAGGGTGTTTGAACCAAGTTGAATTGTGAAGAGTTCCGCACTAAAAAGAATTTTACTGGTTTAAATATCATGCTAGAAAACGAGTAATCACTTGTGCACACAGTATCCCGAAGTTATAATCCACTGATTTCCAGTAAGGGCACCACCACAAAAGAATCTATTGTCACTGGTCTGCACATGAATGGCTGCTGCAAATCTAAATTGACCCGTTCGTGCAACCTCACCCCCAATAATCCGAGACGAAGGTTTCTAACAAATACAGAAAGAATATTGTTACGAAATACACCCTTACGCCGCCCCAGTACGACGCCTATGGCGGTCGAGAGCCTTCTGGACGTACGCACGGCGCTGATGGGTGAATCATCGCTGTTGACGGCCGAGAGGCGGGCGCATAAAGACAGGTCTGGAGCGTCTCGAAGCGGCGTCCAGGGGAGTCTCGAAGCGGAGTCGCGATGGATGTTCGTGAAGGATCTCGATCAGAGACTATGGGTTTAAATAGAGGCGACCGTAGGTAATGGATTCATTCAGTCAGTGAAGACAGTCAAGAGCGCCGGATTAATTTCTGTACATATTCGTTGCAATAGATAGTGTTGTAATTCGAGCTAAAGAAATAAATATTTGAGTTTCACCAACGCCCGATTTATTATTCGTCCGTCAATCGTAACAATATGTAAATTGTGATTTCTGCTTATGTGTTTTAATTATTTTTAATTGTACTTACTCCATATGCATAAAGGCATAAAGCTGTGATAAAAAAAGACACAGTAAACATAAAATGCTTCATTTTACGTAGTTTTTATTTTTGACTAACTTGGGCAACTACGCACGGGAAATGAATTTATACACATCGTAAAAAATTCTTAAATCCTTTTATGAGTTTGGAATGATAGAGAGAATTTTATTAAGTCCTAGTGATTTATAAGTCGTAGGTTGCTCAGGAATTCGTCAAATTTACCAAATTTTTGAAATTACTGTGTTTTGATATCTCAATCTTACCGACACTGTAAACAATATACAAAGAATCAATAACTATGACCGATGAGCCGTAGCACCATCTTGTTGAAAATGCCTAAACCAACTTGTCCAAATTGACAGGATTTGCGACTGACTCGAATTTATAAAGTCGCTATAAATGTAAAATCAAGATCGTGCGAATGAAAAAATCGCTGAATGTCTAAAGTTTTTATTATACAATGTTGTGACAAGAATCCAACTATTTAATCAATTTGGCTGGTGATATTTGTAATCCATTGATAATAAGGTGCCGTTCTAGTAAAGCCAGAAGGATGAGTGCTTTCACAACCATCGGAACTAACAAAACTTGCAACACCTACAACAGCATATGTTCTCCCATTTTGTACAGCTAATGCCCCACCGTTGTCTCCCTGAAATACTCTCATAAATACGAAAAATATTTCTTTAACAAAGTGGACTTACATTACATGTCCCTTCGTTATAATTTCCGATAGCGCAAATCATATTATCAGTAATTTGATTTCCATAAGTTATTTGACATTCCTCGTTCGTAATAGTCGTAATATATACATACCTTAGTTCGTTAGTAAGTGCAGAATCAACTTTAAAGAAATAAAAATTGGATCAGAATATATTCAATTGTCAGAATACGTACAGTCGCTGGTTTGTCCCCAACCTGGAATATACACATGTGCATCTTGCCATAACTCCGATTCTAATGGATGAATTGGTTGTAAATAAACTACAACAAAACAGAAAAGTAGAAATTTCAGCTCAAATACAAAAAAAAAAACGAAAAACCTACTACTGTACTCAACCTCCATTCTTAGTTTAATCAAACCAATATCATTTTCAATAGTTTCTGGGTTAAAATCTGGATGTAGAACATACGTAGAACTCGAAACAGTCACACGGTTGGAGTCATCTGATACTAAATCGTTCGATCCCAGTTGAATTGTGAAAAGAATGGCGCTACAATTTCAACTTAGAGATACACTTTTTAAAATTAAAAAATCATTTAACTTGTAGACACAGTGCCCAGCCGTGAGGACCCACTGGTTAGCTGTTAAAGTTCCACCACAAAAAAATTGGCTGTCGTTGGTATGGACGTAAATGGCTGCAGCAAAAGGGAATTGCGCCGCATTAGCGAAATCACCTCCAATTATTCTTGGCCCTGAATATTATTTACAGAAATATTATAACTTACTTTACAACAAACTTACCATTAGCTCGTTTTTGAAAATTTGCCGCTCCCTAGAAGCATTAGTTTTATTGATTTTTGTTACCTTTTTCAGAAACATTTCTTACTTTTATAGTTAAAGTTGAGCACAAAATGAAAACAACGTAGGGTAGAGTACTGTAAAACTTTTTCATTTTGTTGAAAAAACGCTACTGATATTCTGAATAAAACTAGTTTTTACTCTTATGTAGTATTAAAAAGATTACAGATATGATATTTATGGCTACAATGAATACAATCTACTCATTTATAAAGAATTTTTACACCCAGCTAAGTTTACAATTTATAATCTAAAAAGGTCAGTTATGTTGTTAAACTAATCTTCGTAAAATTGGAGAAAGTAATGCTTGCTTTTTTTATTTTGTAATATTAGTAATGAACAATCAAATTATTATGTTAACATGTTCTTTATAACATTAAGTAGTCTTTGACGTTTTTTTTGAAAATAAAATTTTTAAAAATAATTCCGAATCACGTATTTTGTTGTTCATTGTAGTCATCTCTACTGTATACAGTAGTCGTCGTTCGATTTAGATCACACGAAAACGAAATTAAAAGCTCAAATCCACTTCAACATTTAATAACTACAGAGCAAAAATACAAATACACACTACACTTTAAAATGCTTAGTAAAATTAGGTAAAAAATTACAAATTGCAAGCAATAAAAACAATTTTTAGTAATATTGTGTCGCTACATCATCTACTATACTATAATATTATGTAAGTCCGGCCAACAAAGAGGAGACAGAAAATCCTAGACGCTGTATCTAGAATGTGGAGACTTAAGATCTGAAAATTTAATCAGTATTAACAGATTTTACCTGAAGCATCACCGGTCGATTAATCTTTAATATCCCAGCTCCTGTCATTTCTAACGGAATTTGAGTTTGTCTCAGCCAAAATAAAACGAACTTGCGATTTTTCGGGAGCTTTGCATTGTACCAGTCTATATTGTATATTGCATATGAAAGTTGCTCAGCCTAAAATAATTTTAATATGAGTATGTAAAACACCGACATCTATTGGGAACCATAAACATACTTCAATTTCTACTAAACTTGATGGGATAAAAACCATTGCGATTAAAACATTAGCCAAGACGATAATAAAAGCTCCTTCCACAACTTGAGTTAAACTTGATGATCTATAATAATTGATTTATTATTATTGTGTTACTATATTAATAATTGTAATTTTTACGTACTCATTACATATGACAAACAGTGGAACACAAGTCCCACCCACGGTAAAAAAATATTGACAAACAAAGAAACCAGAAAACGCTTTATTGAGTTTTCTGTGTACACTAAAATATTGTATTAAGGCGTTAGTTGTACTTTTAAGATTCATTAAAATTGCTTACCTTAATAAAAACTTATGATAACGACTACACTCCTTCAATTTTTCCCAACATTTATTTTCGTTAGTCAAATCTTCGTCGGCTCTAAATTCAATCGCATTCACTGCTTTTTCCAACAATTCCAACTGAATTTTCAGCTCCGTGCACATCAACAAGTAAAATCCGTCAAAAACCCCTAACAGGAAAACAACTTCAATGTAAAAAATTACTTCCAAAGTGTAAATAATGACTCGAAACGCGAAAATATCCCCAGGAATCCAACAAGCATGAGGCAACGACATCTCCTTTACGAAAATCGGCGCCGAAGAATGAAAAGTAAGAGAAACAACACCACTAATCCATAAAAACTTAATAAATTTAACACATAGGGCCATCCTTGCGCTGTATTTGTTTTTTTCGTCATTTTTTCCGCATAGATCGTATTTCCAGAACCGAGGAATTTCTTTAATGATATCATCGAAAAGGTGGCCGTCGACTACAAGAGCCGTTTTTCGTGACAACAACTAAAAACTTTGCGGTTTTTGTGTGTGTTTTTGAAACGAATTATACTCACGTTTGCGAACGAAGAAACCGAGCTGAAAATTTCGACGAAATCGAAAATGGTGTCATGTTTGTAGCGGAAATTGAGGATCACTAAAGTGTAAAAAATGAGGAATAAAGGGTAAAGGACGTAAACTGAGATAAATTTCTGGATGAAGCCGCTGGAACTGCGTAAGCCGCTTCTGCTATAGTATGTGATAATGAATTGAAGATGTTCGTTTTTGATTTCGCTGTATTGAAACGTCATTACGCAAAAAATAAATCAGTGAGGGTGCTATCGATAATTTGATACTCAGATGGTAGGACCTTCTGGCATCACAGTCACTCGAGGACTGATAAGCAAAAGAGGATGAACGATTTTATTGATGCTGGTTGTTAAGAATTTTAAATAAGATATTAAATTGAAAAATACAGAGGGGATCCTTTGAGTTGTGCTATACTTTGAAACACCGACCCATTAATTAAAATTTTAATTTTTAATGTTGGTCAACTGTCGACTCGGATCGGTGTTTGGATTTTTTAAACTGGTTTTTTCGTAAGTGTTATGAACTTAGTTAAAGGGAATTTATTAAACTGTAATTAGAAGATCTATTGTTGCATGACAGGTTTGATAAATTTTTAACTATTTTTTTATGGGGAGTATGATCAGGAAAGTTGTTATAACGGCGTGTTGAGTTCATCCCTTCAAGGGTGTTTGTGTGGGTTTAACGACCGGACACGTGTTATTAGTTGGATTATATTTAAAACATGTTATTGTTTAACAGCTAGAGTTATGTAAATAACAAAGACAACTTCTACAACACAATTTGAAAAATGTCTTTTTAAGAAATACTAAATTTTATAAAATGTCAGTCTGTTCATTTCTGCAATAATAAATGTAAACGGTGTCTATAAAGTCTGATAAATGGATTTATCAAATATTTTTATTGAAATATTGTTCTATAAAACCAGATCGGATCTCTACTATGTAATCCACTGCGCAAAATGGATCGTCATGGGTTAATTTGCTTCTATGCAAGTGTTATTATTTACATCTACAAGGTGATTAGTAATTACACTAATTATGGATACTTTACACTGATTGTTTTGCAATTTTAGGTAGAAGCTGCAGCGGAACGACATTATGGTATGGCAAATTTGACTTTAATTTAACAAAAAAAAAAAAAATGAATTTTTTAGGAGCACGGATAATCGGTGGTCAAGAAGCATTTGCTGGTCAGTTTCCTTTCGCTGCAGCTGTTCACGTTCAAACCACTGACAGTAAATTTTTTTGTGGAGGAGCATTGACTGGCAATGATTGGGTCATCACGGCAGGTCATTGCGTCTACAAGTATTTTTTCATGTATATTTAGTTTTGAAACACTAAACAAGTTCATAATTTAAAGTGGTGTCCTATTTACTATCCAACTTGGTTCAAACCATCTGGAATCGGATGACTCTGGTCGTATGACGATAGCTACATCTACGTACATTTTGCATCCCGATTTTAATCCAGACACCATCGAAAATGACATTGGACTAATTAAATTTCGAAGGCCTATTAACTATACTAGTAAGTATTTAAAGAAGCAATAAGAATATGGGTGTTATATTTTTATTTTTAGTTTATTTGAACCCCGTTTTTCCACCGGAATTTAGTTTACAAGACAATGCACCGGTGTATGTACTGGGTTGGGGACAAACTAGTGATTGTAAGTTCATTTCGTGGCTATGTGTTACAACGAATGCATTAATTTCTAATTTACATTTTAAGCTGACCCAGAACTAAGCAACGAATTAAGATTTTTGTACATTAGGACTATCAGTAATGCAGAATGTCGAACCATCTATGGTAATCAAATTACTGACAACATGGTTTGTGTTGCTGGAAATTACAACGAAGGAACTTGCATTGTAAGAAGAGAAGCAATTGTTGGATCTGTATAAAGTTTTTTTTTGTTGTTTCAAGGGTGACAATGGAAGTCCACTAGTTCAAAGTTATGGAAAATACTATGCTCTTGTTGGTGTTGCCAGTTTTGTTAGTGCGAATGGTTGCGAAAGTGTAGATCCTTCAGGTTATACGAGAACATATCCTTACTTGGAATGGATACAAAATAATACACGACAGGAGGAATATGTTTAAATAATTTGTATAATACGTAGGAATAAAGTCGGTCAATTTCACGACAACTGAAACCTGCCTGACGCATATCCACAATTCGTACTCGCTGCTTTCTGCTACTTTCTCTGCTCTTCCAGGGTGGTACTACTTTTTTTGACACGCAGTGTATTTAAATTTCAAGATGTGCAACTAGTTCCGAAATTTAAGACTGATATTTGAGAGATGCTTTTCTCAAAAATTGTGTAAAATCATTCATTCAATTTACTTAGTAGATTTATTTTAAGCTAATATTCCATTAAAAAACTTTCGAAGAAAAGTAAATATATTTTGTTTCGAATAATCTAAATAAGTTCATTTAGATATTTGGAATGGCAGTTTTTTTTTGTATAAACGGGAGATTTAGAAGATTGAATTCAGTTGAAACTTCATAAATATTTTTTTTGCTCATGTAATAATAATATTGGTCGAAGTACAATAAATCATATCCAGCTTTTTCGAAAAATTGTAAAATTTGATTTTGCAAATTTTATTTTTTTTAATGAGAACCCCTATAAGTTGCAATAAAGATCTGTATGTAATGTTAAAGTAAACGTAAAGAAATGTGTTCCAAATGAGTTCAAGTCGTCAACTTTTTGCTAAACAATTTACCATGTTTACGATAATAAATGCAAATTTTCGAAGCATTCGGTTTTACGGACAAAATTAAATTGCAAAATATTGCTGTATAGTTTGCGGGTAAAACTCAACACGGATCACTAAACTACACGTGTAGACATATGTTATTTTAGATAATTTAAAGCCAATTTTCTATGTATAATTTTGAGATGACGATTAGCCAAATTTTGGTTAGCATTTTACCATCTATATGATATTCCTAATATACATACAAAATTTGACAATAATCAGTCCATTAGTTAATCGACAGATTTGTTCGAAATGGCAGTGTCAATAAAGGGAAATCTCCTGGAAGACCTTTAGTATCTGAGAAAGTTGTTGATGATTTGAGACGACTCGAACAGAATCCGCAAACTTCTGTTGCAACATGAAATTGAGCAATGGGTTCAAAGCATTGACGAAGGGATGTTGCAGGACATTTTTATAATTGTTTGATTGTAATGAATTAGTTTCATTTTTTAATAAGATATGAAGCATTTAGGCAACTAACTATACTGACACTTGTAGTATTTGTCGTATGTCCTTGGGCATTTAGTAAAGTTCATATAAAGTGATAGACGGCACGTATCCATGATGAACTTCGACCCTATAATGATTTATAGAAACCCGTATAACAGTAGTTGTATAATTCTGAGTAAAAGTTCTTACAATACAAAATTATTTATCACAGGTGTGTCACTGAGCGAAAAACTGATTCACAAAGTGAATATATTTCAATAGTATTTTAAAACTTCAAAATATTTCTGACTTGATCTTCAGATTTAAAGGATGCACCGATGATGCTGAAAGAGAAAATTGTAAAATTGGCTACGTGGAATATCAGAGGTCTCAATGAAGAAGGAGCGTTGAAAAAGTTAGTGCGAGAAATTAGGAAATATAGTTTTGATGTAGTTTAGTTTAGTTTAGTTTAGTTTAGTTTATTTATTAACGGGAAAACCCCACTTACAAAAAAAAAATAATTACACTCTTAAACATAATTAACTAAATATATATATACATGTATACTAATAACCACCTCATATCATTAAAAACCGAAGTACTTTAAAATTTGCTTCCTGAACTTAGACACTGAAGAATTGAAGATCTCAACTTTATCATCATTTGTATAGCGGTTAGCAGCGTCCATCATTCTTCGCAAAGGATGATTTTTTGCTAAATTTGATGTTGCCAATCGAATTCTAAATATATTTCTGCTACGAGTAGTGCAGCTTCCTGATGCCGGTACCAAAAATGTCAATCTCCTTAGTAATTCAGAATTATCAATACGGCCATTGATAATGTTGTGAAGTGTATGCGCGTCATTAATACATCTCCGTATGCCTAGTTCCTGAATGTTTAAACAACTCATTATCCAACTATATTCACCTCTAACATGTCTATGTCCCATCTTAAACTCAATTGTTCTAAGAAATTTCTTCTGAACCTTTTCCAGTAATAAAGAGTCTACATTATAAATTGGACACCAAACAGAGGAGCAATACTCCAAATGTGACCGTACTAACGAACAATACAGAATTCTCAATGCTGACGCTGACAAATCTTTGCAATTACGCCAAATGAAACCCCACATGTTTAAGGATTTATTAAAAATATAACCATAATGATTCTTAAATGTGAGACCCGAGTCAAATATCACACCCAAATCCTTTATCTCAAAAACACGAGTAACAGCATGACAGTTAATTTGATAGTTAAACTCAATACGAGATTTTAAATTAAGAAATGATATAACATAACATTTTTTAATATTCAAAGGGAGCCAATTGTTATCACACCATTCCCCAAGTGAATCTAGGTCTACCTGAAGTTGCACTGCATCTTGAACCGATCGTATATTTTTAAAAAGCTTTAGGTCATCAGCATATAGTAAGTAATTCGAATAATTAAAGCATTGAGTCACATCATTCACTAATAATAAAAAAAGGATAGGACCACAATGGGTGCCCTGCGGGACACCTGACGGAACATTAAAGAAAGAAGAAAAGCAATTCCCAATGCGAACTTTACTCTGTCGAAAGCTTTGGCATAATCAGTATATACCGAATCAACTTGACATCTATCCGTGAAGGCCTCATTTAAGAACGATTGATATTCTAACAAATTTGAAAGTGTAGATCTATTAACACAGAATCCATGTTGTTTAAACGAAATAACCGAAGAGGAACTCCACTGTAACTGTTTGGAAACTATACCGTCGAGTAATTTAGAAATTGCAGATTGATTACATACACCCCTATAGTTGTCAATTTTATTACGCTGACCGGATTTAAAAATTGGAATTACGAAACTTCTTTTCCATATTTCCGGGAAAATTCCTTCCCTCAATGAGGATTTAAATAAATTTAGCAAAGGTAGCGAAAGAGTAAATTTGCAATTTTTTATAACTATGCTAGGTACACCATCAGGACCAGGATTGCAAGACGATTTCAAATCAGATATATGATCAAAAACATCGGTTAGTGTGATATTTAAACCTACATCATGAACCTGAGGTGACACCTCAAAATCACACACAAATTTTCTATAGTCATCCTTAACATACACCGAAGCAAAATAATCCGCAAAGAGATTAGCTATATCTTCACCCTTGTTTGCCGATTGCTGTCCAAGTATCATTTCATCAGGAATACCATCATTCGCCTTCTTGTCCCGAACGAACTTCCAGAAAAATTTGGGATCACTTGAGATACTTAAATTTACCTTAACAATGTAATCAGCATACAGCTGTTGATTAAGCTCTTTACATTGAGATCGCAAAGATTTGAAATAGAGATAGTCACCTAATTTGCCTGATTTTTTATATTTGTAATGTGCTTCACTCTTCCTTCGACATAGATCTTTTAGTTCCACAGTAAACCACTTTGGGCAGTGGCGGCTCGTGACTGTCTGATGTGGTGAGGCGATGATAGAAGTTTGACAATAATATTATCAATAATAAAATTAATTAAATTAATGTGATTAATGCATATTACTGGGTCTTAGTAGTTAATAATGATAGAAGTCTTGCTTGCATACCGTTCAGTTCCCAGTCAGTAGTGGGTCCTAATAATAGTAATAATAATAATAATATTAACACCCATAACACATTTAATCAACAATGTGTTTACAAGTCAAAATTTTGTTTAAACTAGCACTTTCTTGGAGGGATTCGGCAATAGTTGTGTTCCTTTCTAAATCTTTTAAGCCCATGAAATTTGTAATGTGTACTTTGGAACTTTTATGTAACTTTGCACTTCGAATGAAATTCTTTAAATCGTTATATCCCGGAGACGTCGTCCATGTGTTTTTTACGTTGCCTAAGAGTAGACACGGCCAACAATATAGACTTTCAGCGTAAATATTACGGCTACGGCAGAGCCGTTTATGTTTCGTACCAGGCTGGTTTAAAAGACCTGGAGTACTGATGACATTGTCGCTTATCAATGGAAGTTAACGGTTTTGACTGTTCGATATATCACTGGTCAACAAAATTTAATTTTTTCTCTCTAACTTTGACATAATTGTAATGTTTTCGTTTAATTTGTCTCTGTGTTTGTAACAAAGAGCATAAATCTTATAACTTAGCTCAATTAAAAAAAATATGCATATTTGATGTTAGAAACACAAAATCAGGTAAAACAATTTAATTTTTGTATCTTTAACGGCAAAAAGTGTAGTATTAACAAAAGAACAACCATAAATAAGAAAAAAACAACGAATGTAGTTTAAAAAACGAAAAAAACAAAAGAAACAGCGAAGACCGACGTTTTTTCGGTTGCCTCCTATAGATTTTATTGGAGATCTCTCGCTTGATGGTCCCGCAGTATTCTGCGAGCATTTAGGTGTTCCATTGATCTTGGTAACGTTTTTCTATCGACAAAATGCCCAGATGGATGTGTTCTCTATGATGGTCGCTCACGTCGTCACAATTTTTAGGGAAAAAATTAAGGTGCGAGTGTATAAAATGCACTTTTAAGAATATGTTAATTTTAAATTTTTTATATGATGAGAACATGTCTTCTACTTACTAAAAGTAGTTTTCTTATTATTTCCCAAGAAGTTTGTAGCAATTTGATTACAAAAAAATACACCTTATAGAAAGTTTCCTATTACTTAATAGTACGATTTTTGTGTTTTTCAATGATAATATTTTAAGATTACTTTTAAATGAGAGCTAAGTTTTGGTTTAGCCCTTTATAATATCATTTAAAATTGCTAATTAAATAATAATTGACTGCTATAATAAAAGTTAGAGCTTAGCTGTTGACCAGTGATATTTAGCAAAATTTACCGACGTTCTAACTCGGTTCGTCGTGAAAACGGCGTTTCAAGAAGCAACATGACAATATCGTACTCGGGATTCATTTTTCACTCACCTGTACCTATGAAAGAGACAAAAACACGAAACACCAACTCCTGGACTTTTATTCACGTTTATGCTAATTACCCAGGCACCCTGCACCCCTTCCATTCTGTAAAATAAATGGGAAAATGGTTTAATGGGTCCGCCGAAATTGGCCGAGAAGCATCGAAGATATCGCCTCAATTCCGAGCGAATTCATGTATAGGAGTATAGCAGCTGAGTCATGGAAATCCGTGTCTGTGATTGGGCTTCATTGGCTCAAGTGAACCGACGCTCTGGCCGTTTCAGTTAAAGAATTCGGGGCATAAATCGTACAGTATTCAACGGAAAATGTCCGCAGAAAGTGTAAAAAATAAAAAATAATCTACAGATTTACCATTTCAACATATTTTTGTAACTAAAAATGCATTGAAAGCTCTTTTTTAATTATAAATTAAGTCAATCTGTTCTTAAGATATATGCTGTGAGGCGCCGCCTCACTTGCCTCATATGACGAGCCGCCACTGACTTTGGGTAATTAGAAGGACAACTTTATATGGAATATATCTCTCAAAACCATAAAATAGAATATTATAAAAAGTTGAAATATTCTCATCCAAGTCATGACTAATTAATAAGGAATCCCAATGAACTGAAGCAAAAAATTCATTTAACATATTATAATCACCATTAGTAAAGTCAAAAATACGAGATTCATAATATAAGATAGGAAGATCAACAGAAGATACAAACCACGATAACTGAGAATGATGAAAACTTTCAGAAAATATAGGGTCTATTGCATGGCAAATATCTATATTCACTATATTAGAAAAAATAAGATCAAGATAAACACCTCTGGAATTTGGAATACTATTAACTTGTTGCATGTTCATAAATGCAGCGGTTAAACAAATTACCTCACAATATTCCCGAAAATTACCAAATGAGTTAAACTGCATATCATTCCTATTCCAGTTTGAAAGAGGGAGATTGAAATCACCAGCTATAATATAAGAGGAATTAGGAAACTTTTCAAAAATACACTCCAAATCAGAACAATAATTTTCATAAACATTCAAATGCGATGCAGGCGGAATGTAAACTCCACCAACTATAAGATCTAAATTATTGTGTTTAAAATTAATATAAATACTTTCCACAAACCGACCAGATAAAATCACAGATGCCCTAAAATCCTTTTTTACTGCAATCAACACACCACCCCCACAAACTTTTTCACTGGTATTAGAGTTGCGATCAGCCCGAAAAATATTGTAATTGTTTAAATTAAGCTCCTCATTAGAGATATTTTGACAAAGCCAAGATTCAGATATAATAAGCACATCATATACACTAGAATTGACATTAAGAGAAAAATCTTTCAATTTTGACCTAATACCGCCAGCATTGTAATAATAAAAATTTATTACTTTTTTGAAAGATCCACAGAAAACCGTTTCTTAGTAATATGAAGTAGATTGTCCTTATATTTTAAAGCTACATCAGATTCACTTTTAGAAAGTCTGTCATGAAATTCATCCCTAACTTTATTATTATAGTCGCGTTGTAGTTTAGTTAGATCCGGCCTAAAATGGTATTTACGATTCGGATTGATCTTATTTGAGCGAAGAACATCCTTAACACAGGCTTCATTGTCATAAATAATCTTAAGAGGACGTACAACATTGGGTTTCGAGTTGCCAAGACGGATTACTTTATTAGGCTTAGGAAAAGAACCAAGTGGGGCAAGTATGGATGCAACTTGTTTGAGATCATCTTCAATTTTTTGTGCAATAGAGGAGGCAGTCGATTCAGCGATATTAAATAACAAAACATTAGCACTGCGCAGTTTGCGCTCTTCAATTTCCAATACCACACTGTTGAGATCATAAATATTATCACGATTACAGTTATTATTAGAATTTTTGAATTCCTTCCATTCCTCTTGAATAACTCGAACATCGTTTTCAACTACCGTCAACCTGTCCATAATATTCTTAAAATTACTATCAATTGACATTTTCAATTCATTTTGCATAATTATCAGTTGTTTTTTTATAATTTCTTCAATTCGTTCAGCTGAAATCATATTACTAGCAGGACCTGAGCATTTAGGGCATATCCAAGAAGATTTATCACTAATTATATCAGCAATCTCCGCTTCTGTTACTCCCAAACATTTTAAATGCAAATACTTCTTGCACACACCACTACATTTAATAGATGGTGTACTCGGTGTTATAGCACCCTCACAGTTATTGCAGGAAACAGGCATAGTGAACAAGGACACAATTTTTCACACTAACGCGGTCCTTCGTAGTGACTTACAGTAAGTAGAAACAAACAGACTGGACCAGGGAAGGGTATACAAGAGAAACACTTACTGTGGGAATTATAATACCGTGTGGGCTAAATTATTTGATACAGAGGGCCGCAAATAACGTTATCAGTAAAGCAAGAAAAAGTTTCAAACATTTACAGATAACCAAGAAAAATGGCCCGTTATCATACTAGTAGCAGACTTACACAATCCGTTTACACCACCAACTATCAAAAATATGTGTACTTCAAGCTATAAACCACTATCAAAAATTTAACTAAAAACTACAAGTTTTAACCACCAAAATCAACAATAAAACATTGAGTATATGTAGTAGACGGATCGTGAAATTTTTTGTAGTAGCTATACAAGAAACAAAACAAAAAAAGAATCAAATAATAGAAATAGAAGACTATATATATTTTAATAGTGGGGATAAAAGCAAAATTAGAGGCACGGGCTTTATTGTACATAAAAAACTAAAGCAACATATATTGAAATTTCAAGCGATATCAGATAGGATGTGCTGCTTAAGGCTGAAAGGAAGATTCCAGAAGATTACGCTTATAAATGTACATGCACCAACGGAAAAAACAGATATAGAAGTAAAAGAAGAATTTTATGAGACGCTCGATAAGGAATATGGAAAAATAAAAATATATGATTTGAAGATTGTATTAGGAGATCTAAATGCAAAAATTGGTCAAAAAGAATTGTTTAGACCAACGATTGGAAAATATAGCAAACATGAAGTTACAAACAAACGCACGGCAAAACGAACAAATTCTACCCGGGATTTCCATTAGAAGCTCATCAGTGATACATAAAAATGTAACAAACTAGAAGAAAGACGACAAAATAAAATTTAGAACACCATCTTCGAAAACAAGTGTAGTTTCTCAGAAATTGTTAAAGTGTTTATATTATAACAGAACGTTAGCTAGTAACTACATTTTTTATTAAACTATGTTCAATATTTGTTTATTTCATTCTGGAAACTGTTTCCGCAATTGTAAACGAAAGTAGTGTCTGTAAATTCTGATAAGCGATAACTGAATTTATCTAATACTTTTATTGAATTGTTAGTCTTCTAAACAAGATCAGATCTTAATTCCATGATCCATTGTTCAAAATGAACCTTCATCAATTAATTTGTTTGTGTGCATGTTTCCTTACTTACAAGGTGATATTAACTATGCATACATTCCAGATTCAATTTTAAATTGATTTTTACAATTTTAGGTAGAAGCTGTATCGAGAAAAGAATATGGTAACTAAGGCATTTGATGTGTGTTATTAACAAGAATTATGAATATTACTTCTAGGAGCACGAATAATCGGTGGTCACATTGCATTTGCTGGCCAGTTTCCTTTTGCTGCAGCTGTTCACGTTCAAACTGCTGACAGCAAGTTTTTTTGCGGAGGAGCACTGACAGGCAACGATTGGGTCATCACCGCAGGACACTGCGTCTACAAGTATTTTTAAAGATATATTTTCATTTAAAATACTAAACAAGTACATAATTTTAAGTGCCGTTCTATTTACTATTCAACTTGGTTCAAATCATTTAGAATCGGATGATCCTAATCGTCTGACAGTAGCTACATCTACGTATATTTTGCATCCAGATTTTAATCCAGAGGCTATCGAAAATGACATTGGTTTAATTAAATTTCGAAGACCTATTGACTATAACAGTAAAATACAAGACTTGTAATGATATGTGTTTTGTAATTTATTTTTAGTATATTTGAACCCCGTTTTTCCGATGGGATTTAGTTTAACAGACGATGCGCCGGTCTATGTACTCGGCTGGGGACAAATTAGTGACTGTAAGCATATTTCGAAGTGAGGTATATGTCGTAACAAATGTATAATTTTCAGCTGACCCGGAACTAAGTAACGAATTACGATATTTGTTCATTAGGACTATCAGTAATGCAGAATGTCGAACGATCTATGGTGATCAAATAACTGACACCATGGTTTGTGTTGTTGGTAATTACAATGAAGGAACTTGCGTCGTAAGTAGAGAAACAATCGTTGTTATTGTATCTGTATAAAGGTGTTTTTTCTTTTTAAGGGTGACAATGGAAGTCCATTAGTTGCAAGTAACGGAAAATATTATGCTCTTGTTGGTGTTGCTAGTTTTGTCAGTGCGAAAGGATGCGAAAGTACAGATCCTTCTGGTTATACAAGAACATTTCCTTACTTGGAGTGGATACAAAACAATACAAGAGAGGAACAAAACTTGTATGAATAAAATTTAGAAATAAATGACAAAGTTTTACAGTGACACACGATACAAAAACCTTTAGCAAAGTAATCTCCTAAAAAATTCCACTAAAGATATTTTGAGCTAGTTTTTCAATAATTTCTAAAAATGGTCGATTTGTTGTAAATGATAAATAAATTAAACTTAGCTGTTATAACTTATGCGAACCTAATATATGAGTCCAAACTGCCTTATACAAGATAAAAAAAAATGCTGTGCAAAACTTCAAAGTTAAACAAAACATTTTGAAGATTCAAAGTACAACAACTATTAAGTATAGTTAATTTATCATTAGGCTTCGGATCTTAGGTTTTTTGCATTTTTATATCTACTTCAGGCATTGCAGCGAAATTTATATATTTATACAAATTTAAAAAAAATATGTTTATTTAACGCCCATTTATTACTAACTAAAATGCCTAATGTACCGTTAGAGACCTAAAGTGTTAATTAAACGACCTAATTGTAAATTTTAAAAGACTTAAAATAGGATTCCACGACCAACGAAGCGGACGTGCTAGCACAATAGAGATTTTCAGTGAATTCATTGTTTTGGCTGGCAGATTGTTTAAAAATGAGTTGTAAACAACGCTCTTGAGTTTAATGGTACGGGTTAGTGTCGCCAACTGACAACACTGGCCTGCATTTCATTTAGATTATAGCCGGAAGGAGGTGAATCTCTGAAAAAGCATTTTATTTTAGAAGTTTATTGTTAGTGATACTGAGTGTCTTTGCGTGTGCTGGGGCCGGTTTTGATTTTTATTATTATTATTATTATTATTATTATTATTATTATCATACTTTGAGCTGAGGCAGTGCCTATTAAGCTCACGATTTTACTAAAACAGAGAAATACAAATTGTAATCAGCGTAATTTACAATGGCGACAATTTATTATCTTCTGTTAATGTAGCTTTGCTTTGAATGTGTTGATACTATGAGAATTAATAGCGTTTGCGGGTAGGGCATTCCAGGCAGTAAATACTCGATTACTTAAAAAGTTTTCCCGGATCTTGCTTTTGTACTGATTATGACGCAATTTTAAGCTGTGACCACGAAGACGTTCGTCACTGTTGATGTTAAATAAAGGTGACAAGTCGACCCCAAGATAACCTTTCAAAATTTTAAATGTCCAGACTAAATCGTTTCTGGATCGTCTTTCGGACAGAGTGCAAAGTTTTAGTTCTTGGAGCCTCTGAGAATACGGAAGGTTATGTAGGCTGGCGACCGTTTTGGTTGCGCGTCTTTGAGCTCGCTCTAATAACTCAATGTCTTTTTGTAAGAAAGGACACCAGACAACAGATGCGTATTCCAACAGAGGTCTAACATAAGATTTATACAATGTCAGAAATGACTCCTTCGATAGACTTTGGAAGGCTTTTCGAAGCAGATACATCGTAATGTTTGTTTTTTTAGCAGTTTTTAAAGAGTGGTGCGACCATTTGAGGTCGCTTTGAATCGTGATACCAAGATCTACATACTTATCAACCGCTTTGATGAGATCGTTGCCAATACGATAGTTTAAACATGGATTTTTTGCACCCAGATGAAGAATGACGCACTTTTCTTTGTTAATAGGAATTAGCCACAGATCGCACCATTGTAGCACAGTATTTAGGTCTTCGATTAGGATATTATAACTGCTATTGGGATAGTTAAAAATTTTAAGATCATCCGCATAAAAGGCATGATCTGATTTTAGAAGACGACTTAAATCAGATATATAAAGAACAAATAAAACAGGCCCTAGGACGGATCCCTGAGGAACTCCGGATTTTACAGCATAATTATTGGATAATGAATCACCAACTCTGACGTAAAAGACACGTTCAGATAGGAAAGCGGATATCCACTTCAAGAGATTACCCTTAATACCTAACTCTCTCAGTTTGTGTATTAGCCTTCGATGAGGAACTTTGTCGAATGCCTTTTGAAAATCTATATAAACAATATCAACGGAATCACCACGGTCAATAGCTTTGGTCCATTTATCTAAACAGTATAGAAGGCATGTCTCAGTGGAACGACCAGGGAGAAAGCCATGTTGTTCGTCAGGTACTATACCTTCATGAATAGCAAAATGAATTATTCTTTTACACAAAATTCGTTCCATTAATTTACAGCAAACTGCAGTCAAACTTATAGGACGATAGTTTTTACGGTCAGTTTTGTCACCTTTTTTAAAAATGGGTGTGACAGAAGATTTTAACCAGTCGGACGGTAAAGAAGTTGAAAGTAAAGACTGGGACATTATGTGAGCAAGAGGCTTGGCTAATTGCAGAGCATATTTTTTTAAGAAAGAACCACAGATATTATCAGGACCAGGGGCACTATGTTCAGAAAGGTTCAATAGCTCACAATAAACTATAGCTTCATTTATTTCTATAGTATCAAGATACGATGATGTCGGGGGAGAACTAGGTAGATTTTGAGAGTCTTCACTGGTATATGTACTGGCAAAAAATTCTGCTAGTATTTCAGCCGATTCAGAGTTGGATTTAGAACAATAACCATCGTTGTTTTTTACAGTAGGCAAAGAAATTTTCGAACACAGTTTGCGTTTAGTATATTTATACACTGCTTTTGGTCCTCTGTTCAACAAGGAATTTTCATAAATTTGTCTGGCCTTATTTAAATCTTTGCTTAGTATATTGGCAAAACTACGGTGCAACTCAAAATCTTCTGTTTTCTTTGTCAGTTTATATTTTTTCCACAATTTTCTTTTATACTTAACCCTTCGCAGTAAATCCCCTGAAATCCAAGGTTTTGTACTATTCGACTGCTTGACTTTCGTCTTACTGTTGTTAGCAACTACACTATGTATTGTGTTTTTGAATACATTCCACAAAGTTTGTACTTCAGAAATAGAGTAAAAGGCTTCCCAGTTGAGGTGGTCCATGACAAAAGAAACTTGATTATGGTCGATTATTTTGTATAACTCTTTCCTGTGTTTTGAAGCTGTGACTAGACTTATCTGGATATTAGATTCTATTACTGCATGATCAGAAATGCCTATTGGAGAGGAAATGTTAATATCAGAAAGAAGAGTAGTATCATTAATTAGAATTAAGTCTAAGAGTGACGGGGTATTACCAAGTCTAAATCGAGTGGGTTCGTGCACTAGTTGATTATAATTAGAGTCAAGATACATTTCTACAAAGAGTGAATTCGTATTATTACCTTCTGGTATATATGTAATGGGCCATTTAATATCTGGCAGATTAAAATCTCCACAGACAATTAAGCAACTATAATAATCGGAAATTCTCTTAAGTTCATTAATTAGTAGTATATCATCTGCCAGTGAGGTGGTGGGTGAACGATATATACAACCTACACAAAAAGAAACTGTTTTAAAAGATATACAGAGAAACAAACACTCAATAGTAGATGAGGTAATATTATGATGCATTTCAGAAATTCTAAAATTATGAAAATCAATTTTGTTTAGTAAAATACATACTCCACCTCCATTTCCTTTTCGATCACAACGATAAATATGATAATCAGGCAAGTCAATTAGCTTATTACCAATTGATTCATTTAACCATGTCTCGGATATAGCTAAACATGAAGTTCTGTTATTCTGTAAATATAAATTTAGGGAGTTTAATTTTGCCATTATTGACGCGATATTTGTGTATGCAAAGGAAAATTGTTTTAATTCAGTTACAGTTTCAGTTTCATTAGGTAAGGGCTCACCTGGGGTATTAGTATTCGAAGCATTTATATATTCCAGTACACATGTTGATGAGTTTGTAAGTAATTGCTATTGCCGTAGGAAATTTTCTTTTTTAAATTGATCTACTGCAGCTTGATATACAGGACATCTGTTGTCCCATGCGGCATGATTTGTGTTGTGCTGAGTGTCACTATCTTTTGTTGCTTTTTTACAGTTGATGCAATTGAGAGTTTGAGCTTTACAATCAGATACAGAATGTTCTAACCCGCACTTCGGACAAGATTTTGGCTGCCGACATTTTCTTGAAGAGTGATTGAAGCCGTTGCAGTTGAAGCAGCGAACAATATCAATTGCGTCGTAAGCATAACAGTAGTCGTACCCAATGAATATTCCTCCAGCTTTCATGATGAGATCGTATGTAGATTGATCGATTTGTAACACAGCTTGGTATACTTTGGAATTCTTTTTTGTCGGCCACTGTTTTAGTAGCTTACATTCAGGATGATAGTTCAATGAGAAACTCTTACTTTTCACAGAATGTTCGAGAAAATTGATTAGTTCAGTTTCGGGGTATTCCTGAGATAGCCCGACAATTTTAATTCTGGGTTGCACACCTTTAATTTCGTGGATTTCATAATTAGCTCCTAATTTATCAGTAGCACGTTTTTTAAAACGATCGTTTTCTTCCTTAGAAGGAAATCCTATCAGGACTCCACCACTTTGCGTATTTTTAATTTTCGTGAAGGATAACTGGGATTCCAAGGGATTTATGTTGTCTCTAATGTCGGACTTAGTAAGAGTTGTAGTTTGTATGATATTTTTTGGCTTAATGATGACTGCCGGTTGAATTTTGTCTTTCAGGATTTTCGAATATGATGGGACAGTTGCACTATCCATCTCAGATTGATGTAACATTCGTATCTTTTCATCAGCGATCTTATTAAAATCAGTTTTCAGTGTATCAAACACACTATTTAAACTATTTAACATTTCAGAGTGTTTGTCCTCAAGAAGTTTGTTTAAACCTGTGTGGTCAAGATAGAAACATTTTCGGACACAATCGCTGCACTTCCACGATAAACCGGGTACCGAATTTAAATATTTCATAACCGCAGTAGTGATGTCAACACATTGGGAATGAAAACGCTTGTTGCAGATGCCGCTGCAAGATACAGACGGTGCCTTACCGTCAATAACTGCAAGGCACGTACCACAAGGAGTAACCATTTTCTAAAGCAAGCTGAAATCACTTGTTTTTCTTTCGAAATAAATTAATTCTCCGCATTTGCCCACCGCTAAAAAGCGAGGTAAAAATGAGCGATAGCTCACCACACGGCGT